TTAAATTTAAAACCTTTTGCATAACAAACCTGCTTCAGTCTCTAAGCTAAAAAGAGTCTTGTTTGTACAAATTTCTCTCTGATGGTGGACAATTGGGATGTCCTGTTCTTGCTTGCATCTCCTTCGTGCTTTCATGCTTTGGGCAAGATTTATCACTAACAATAAGGTTCTCACTTTTCCTAACTGTCCGCATTTGTTTAAAGCATTGGCACACTCTTCAGTTTTCATCATCAAATGTGCAAACCCGGGCATCCTGCTGGCCAATGGGTTTAAGCACTTCGTTGTTTGTGAATTTCAACACTGAGTTGAGCAGTGCCTCAATTACAGTGTAAAATACTATTATCTGATATGTAAGCAAGTTCACATTTATGGTTCTCCTGTTAAAACCTCAGGCTCAGTTTCCACTGCCTCATAATCACAGCTTCTTAGCTCTGTTGAAACAATACTCTGTTAAGAGCCAGATTTTAAGATTAAAGGATACCATTTTCACAAACATTGCAGTGATTTGATTAGACCCTGATGTAAACCTGCTTGAGAGTTTTCTGCTTTCTCTGCACTATGGGAGGACACAGGCTTTGTTCTCCACTGTACAAACTACAAAAGGAAACTTTAAAATGTTGAAGTTTTGTTTTAAGCAGGACGTTTGTCGTGCTGTCATCTTCTCTTCAGGGGGATGTTGTGCATGAAAACCTCATATTTCTCAGCTGACTGGTCTGCCACAGAGAGATTTAATTCGGTAGCTTTAATAGTCCAAAGAGGGAAATGGGTTTGTGGTTATGAAAAAATACATGGCGTAATTGTTGGAATTACTGTATTCAAACTGCAAATTAAATGTTAGAGATTATTTCCTGATGGGTGATGGTCTGTGTTCCTGATGGGAGGCGGTCAGGATGTCTCTTGTCTCTCAGGACCTCATACTTTCCAACCCATCAGACGTCTGTGACGGCTCTGGACCGGCTGGAGCTTGTTGTACTCTTATATTGACAAGAATTTCCTCCAGCTGAGCGTTTTAAATCTGTGAGTCACCGGGGCAACTTGCAGGGTGACGGTGCCAAGGAGTTGCCTCAGCGGTGCTGTTGCTTTCGTGCCACAGGAACATCTTGTTGCCAGGAAACATTTTAATAGAGCTGTGACAGGGTCACAACTCTGCTATTACCTGCTGCTGGGGGTGTTAGACGAGACAGGCTGCACAACAGACCAGTGTCCACCATTCTCAGACTTTACCATGACTTCACCTCACCATGAGTCCACCTGACGAAGGAATTTTTGAGGCTTGCAATTCCAATATTTTTATTTTTTTATTTTATTTATTTTTTAATCTGGAAATTATAAATATTGTGCATAGGCGTCATTCTGAGAGTAGTCTGGAGCTTGGGCACCAACAAGTAATTGGGAGCACACAGAGCAAAATCATAAAGGAGGCTCACAATATTATTATATAGTAACGTCATCTAAGCCAGATAAATAGAAGATTGGACATTGTGTCGTTGCAGTGAGTTTTAATTATGACCTCAACTAGAGTCCCAAGCTATAGTTACAGCTCAGGTAGGTAATATATTTCAGAAGTATTTTTGTTATATACATATATTATATATACATATATTTTTATATCCTAAAAGGAATTGATAAATGTTCTGAAAAAAGTGAAAAGAATCCTGTATCTGAGGCTGTTGCAGGCCTGTATTAAGACGTCTGTCTACCTGCATGCAATTTGCTCTCATTGCACATGACCCAAGTCTTCCACAAGGCTAGGCCGATATATTGCTAAAATAATCTTCTTGGTGTAGTTTGACAATCCCACTATGTTTATATTTTAATGTAAGGTGCCTCTTCTTGCATTTTGTATCTTGTTCATTTGACCTAATTTGCTATGTAGATGTTCGTTAAACAAGCACACAATAACTTTTAAACTGAAGTGGGTGCAAAGTGAGTTGAACAATAAAACACGTTCTGTCCATTAAGTTTTTAATGAAGGTAACAGGACACAGTGGAAGCTGAAAAGATTTACTGTGAACATTATTGACATTAGCAACTTCAGTCTGTCATTGTGAGCCTTTGATATTAGTTCTGTTATAAGATTGTATATTTTGGTATTAAATATGGGGGAAATGCAAACAGTGTTTCATTCGTACACTTTAGATCACAATACATTTCAACTCTGTTCCTCATTTTGAAGAGTTCTTTGAAAGGTGTCTGTTAGAGGGTTCTCCCAGGAAATGTTTCTTCAGACCACATAGTCCACATACCTATACTCATCTCCATGAAACTCTATTGGAAACCCTCTGATAACCACAGTCCCCACTCAACAATGAACGCTACGTAAACACGTCAACTGCACAGAGAGAGTCTGAGGTGAAATAGAAGTTACATGCATGTAACCCTAGTTAGTATATACGCAGCCCTCCGTCACTCTATATCACAAAGTGAAGGAAAATCATTACTGTAGGGAGGGTAATTAAAGGACAATACGATACATGTGCTCATTGTTGTGAGACCCTCAAAAGTCTGAATCTGACACTGTACTATAAATCAAAACCAAACAATAAGAGGTTCAATAATAATTCCAGTTTAACTGCACCAGAGGATAAAAAATGTAAAAGATGAAGGAAATGGGCCGATATGTCATTATATCTTCTGTCTCATAACTAAGAAACTGAAAAATTCATGTAAATTTGTGACCAAAACTACAAGAGTCAAGTCTCAAATAATTCATCCTGTTATGAAGCTGAATGAAAGTCCAATTATTTGTACCTGATGAAATACCTGCTCAGTACTGAATTTGAGAGTGCATTGGTCAGCTATATGTCCTCTTCCTGAGGAGCATTGATGTTGGTCATGTGAACTAGTGACTATTAGATTGTTCCTTCTTGTACTTGAGACTGATGAATGCAGCAGCCGTTCATGTTGGCAGACGGGAAGAATTCTCTCCTTTCTACAGGAAAACCTTTGATCTCTCAGCTTCGGCTCATTGGAAGAAAGTTTTCCAGCTGAAGTACGAAGAGATGACGACCGCCAGCATCTAGAAACTGACCAGACATTACTGATTGTTGTTTTTATTGCTTTTCTACTTTTAGGTTTATTTTTGTCTGCATATAATTACCTAATATTTCCAATTTGTCTTCCCCAAGAAGGAGCTGAGGTTTTTGTCCTCTTCACATTTGAGCTTTTCTGTTCCAATCGTCCTTTAGATCTGTCTGCTACTGAAGTAAATGATCCTAAGCCTCGGGCTTTCAGAGGAAAATATTATGATAAAGTTGGCTTTCAGCTCTGATAATTACAGCTTTCATTGGATGTGTATTGCATGAGGACAGACAACATGTGATGCAAAGATTATCACATTTCAGCATGACATATTCTTTAATAATCATTATGGCTCCACCTCCTCCCTGAGGCCTGAGGTGTTAATTTGATAACATTAAAGTAAATGAATGGACTCCTCAAACTGGATGTGCTGACAGTGTAGGGGATCAGGAAATCCAGTGGAATATAGCCTAAACTTCTGTCTGGATATGTGACTCATACTGTACACCTCACAGGTTGAATATTTGCATTCACTGTCAACATGCGTCTAATCCTAAGAAACCTCAAGTTGTTGTACAGTGTTCCAGATGTAAACATCAGACTTATGTAGCCTCGTTCCAGACCTCTGAATCACCACTCTGACTTTCTTCATCATTTCAAATAGGTCTGCTGTAGTGCTCCTTGATGGCAGTTCCTAGATTATCAGGCTGTGACTTATAAGAATCATGAAATCTCGCCTTTTTGTTGTACATTTTTAGAGAAGGTTAACTTATATTAGTAGGGGTGACATTGATTGAATCTGTTTGCTTCTATGAACCTGATAACAAATATCTGTGGAGTCATTATGCTCTGCTAAGTAAGAGAGCCGATATATTCCAAAATGGACTCAAATGTGGTCCAAAATTAAAACCTACCAAGCACCAAATGTGGGTAAATTTTGGGTTTGACAGAAAAGAGTGGCTGGTAAATAATCTGGAATCCCAGCGATGCCAGGTTTACATCGCTACAGTTTTTACGTGTACCACTGAGACTAATGTGAACCTCGATGTCAGCCGTACATATCACAACAACAAATCAAATCAAAGCAGCCTACTACTATTTAATGCTTTCTACATAATGTCGTTCTATGTTTTTGCCCTAAGAAACATCTCCGTTACTAGAGATGCGGCGACACATTCCCAGTGTTACACCACCTAAAAGAAAACATGAAGACGAAAGAGAGAAGTCACGAAAGTTGGCGTTTTTGCGGAGCAGGAACCTTCGAGATCCTGGCTAAAATATGAAGCTCAAAACCAAAATGCCGTTTTATGGTCAGTAAAAATATTTTTGGCTAGTAAATTTTCTCAGTTTATCTTCCATTGGCAGATGACTTCATTTTGGACCCTGACTATACTGTTAATAGGAGTCTGTGAACACGGTGCTGCCAACATGAGCAGCTGATGAAATCCATCTGATAAATTGGACGATATAACCTTATGACATATAAACAGTATATCGACCACTGAGTAACAAAACATGTCATGTGCATAATTTGTCCACCAGAGAGCACTGACAACTTTAATTTTAAACTGTAAAATGTCCTGCTCACTACATGTCTTGGTCATGGTATGTGTTTATGTTTTTCTTAATATCAGGCGCTGCATTGTGATCAGTTTATCAAACTGTAAATATCAACATCTGTATTCAGCCTTAAAAAACAAGTAGTGGTTGGGTTTTAGTATATTCAACTCAGACGCAGTAGGAATGAAACAAGAAGAAACACGTATGCAGTTGATGGCATGCATAGTCCCAGTCATCTGTGCAGACGTTCTCGATAACCTGAAGAATAAACCTTGCAGATCATGGCAGTTTATATGGTATTGTACTTTGAAACATAACGAACGTGACTCGTAGTATAGTGACCAGAAAATGTGACTTGCAGATGTTTTTATTCATATGGAGTAGTTGATGTAGGCGAGACTTCATCAATAAGACAATAATAGGAACATAGTGAAGTTTATTTGACATTGTCACCGTAACAAACATTGTTGTCAACTATAGCATATGATTGTTGACACATCAGATAGACATTTTTTCATATAATCTATGCATGTTGGCCAGCCAAGAGCAAAGTGAGGGGCAGCTGTATTTCAATTCAAACATTTTTTTTTTAAAAGTCAGTTTTTGTATTTGTAATAAAACAACACTTCTTAACCGTAAATTACACTTAAATATTTGGGCACACTGTACCTATAGTCAATGTTATTTAAAGCAGTGGTACAATCTGTAAGTAACAGATTAATTCGATCTGTAAGTAAAACATTTATTCCACATCTTCCCTGCTCATACATAAATGATTTACTCTCCCAAGCTGCAGAAGCCTTGTTTTATTCACTCTCAGTGCTGTTGTTGACTTATTAATACATTACACTACAGTTACACAGGTTTATAGTTTAGGCATAAACATAGGGATGGGAATTTATTTTGTTGATAATAGTATCAGTTTTGCTTATTGGTCCAGCTCTTTGTCAGTTATCTTATTGCTTCCTGAAGAATTTTCTGTGTAGAAAAGAAGTAGGTCTACACAGGTTTTCAGCATCAACGCAACTGTTTTATTATATCCGAGTCTAAACACACCGTGTCGAAACAGAGTAGAGTTATAGTAGTTTGAGTTTCTTCGTCAAATGAGACCACGCTTTGGACCGTTTCTTACTCTCATAAAAAAACATGATAAAAGGATACCACCAAGCATATCCATACGATCCCGATGGCTTGGACTATTTGGAACCAGTTCTTGATTCCCATCCCTACATAAACATAGACCTATACATTAAATAATGTTTCTGTGTTGAGGAAATGTTGAAATGGGAATTACAGTAGGGAAAATACTTCTGGAGCCAGTGGTTCCTCCCGTATCTCAACTCTGTTCTGCTTGAGGAGGGTCCTTAGAGAGACCTTGAGGTCAAAGGCATTCTCTTTGGAATTGTGTTTCCTCAGACCACACAGTCCCAACTCTATAGCAAACCCTCTGATAACCACAATGCCCACCCAACAATGAACGAAGCAACTTGAACACAACAACTAAAGCTGGATGTAAGTCAAGTTATATAACTATGTGTGCAGCCCACCGTCACTTTATATTACAAAGTGAAGTGAAAGCCATACAGGCTGATTGTGTACGATACCTGCATTTATTGTGGAGCCATTAACAAGTAAAACATCGCACTGCACTAAAAATCAAAACCTACACCAAACGAGACTCCAGTTAATCCTTTGTGTCACGAATAAATCCAGTGAAACTGCACCAGAGGAAGTTTCTGCCCTGCTTCTATTCACTGAAGTGTGGATAAAGAATGTAAAAGATAGAGGAAATGGGCTGACATGTCACATATTCTGTCTCTTTATCTGTCAGGGGAATTGGGTTCTCCAACAGCACTCCCTTTAACTTAATCCTTTAACCGTCTTCTAATCTTTTACACTCTTGAATGATTTGTCACACAATGTGATCTCACTACTCACAGTCCTTTCCATGTCAGAGAAGGGAGGCACTGGAAGAAACAGAGCTGCGAAATGGAACATGAAGGTAGTGAGGTTGTTAAAAATAATGTGTTGGGCTTGTGGTCTCACTTCATAGAATTCTTTCCATTTCTTTATTAGCATTTTCGTTTTACTGTGTATGGTGTAGGAATTCTTTCCATTTTAGAGAGTTTAACATTTGACTAAAGCAGACAGATGTGTTTGATTTTGAAGTCTGAAGGTGTTCTGTCACCTTCACACCAGTTTAAGTTGGGCCAGGCTACAGTGCAAAACAACTTACCAGACCTAAAACAGTGTACATGGGCTTGAGAAGAAGAAAATCTTACTTTTATGCAGCTCAGGTTCAGTCCAAGGATATGACAGGACAGTACATTCCCATAAGGCAGATTACATTAGTGGCAACTGTGTTTTGAGTTAAGTTCCTTTTTGTCCTTGTTCAACCTGTACGTCAGACATGAAAGCCTTTTTAAGTAATTTATTATTATTTTTGTGTAATTTATAGCCAGTGAGGGGAAATTCATCTTAAATTTTGATTTCTCTTGGCAGATTAAAAACTTTTTGCCCCTGTCTTTCTGAGGTTTTAAACAAGTGTCTTTTAGTTTCTTTGTTTTGTGTGAATTTGTCACATGTCACTTGGTTTTCTGGGGTTTCAAGATCACACTGGAAGAGGAGCGTACACAAGAAAAGGCTGTTGGTGAGACCTTCAGGGGCTCAATGTAGTTGTTTTCCAGCCTCAAGGCAACCAGAGTGGAGTCTCCGCTGTGGTTCGGGTCGCAGATGCTTTCATCAGGGATACTCCTGGAAGACACAGCATCAGGATGCAGTTAGATACACGTTTAGTTGAATCTAGGACTAAAGCTCCAACTAATGTTGTTTTCATTGTCAACTGATCTGATGACTATTTCCTCCAATAATTCATTAATCATTTGGTCTATGGCATGTCAGTAAAGTCTGAATAAAGGCGATAGGGCACAGTTATCTAAATGTCTTTAGATTCCAACAGTCCAGCCAACAGTCCAAAATCCCTCTCTATCCCTAATCTATTCAGTGGACTATTACATAAGACAAAGAAAAGCAGCAAATCTTCACAATGGAAAAGCTGGAAAGAGCTACTGTTTGACTTTTTTGCTTGAAAAATGACTTGCTGATGAATGAGTTGCTTATTTTTGTATGGGTTGATAAACTGTTTCAGCTCCAACACAGCAGCAATAGTCAGAATTTTTTCATTTTCTCATTCAGATATGTTTTATAGCCCCTCTGGTGTACAGCTTGACTGCGTTTGTTTATTATGGGTTATTGTTTGTACTGTACCACATATGGTAAAATAATCTGCATTATTTGCTCGACAGCTGGTTCCAATTACCCACCTGGATTGTCAGCCATGTTGGCAGTGAAGATGGAGCCATGATACAGTGTTTGACTTGTAAAGTTACTTTTATAGAAACCCATGCTACAACCTGGACAACTGTGTGTGCCGTGCATGGACCTGTGAGTGAGTAATGAGGTGATTCAGGATGACTTTCAGGTGGAAATGTGAATCAACTTGTTTTGTTTCTTGTCGTCAAGACAACTCTCCATCCAACTTTCAGCTTTAGTATTGTCTGGTGGGCTGTGATGAATGAGTCAGTTGTCTGGTCGGGTTCTGGTCTGTTGTGGGACTCTTTGTTGTTGGTCTCGTATTTGTTTTATATCAATTAAAATTTTTCCTTGAGCTTTTAATCATCTGAGTTTGTTTTCTGTTGGAGGCTTCTGCTACTTAAATTGGCAGCAAAGTCAATGTCTTATATTTGTAGCTTGAATGAGTTTGAATAAATAAGACATATTGGCACTGCTTGTGTACATTCATATTGATTGATAATGTTATATATAATGTCATAATATGGATCTTTTCACATCTGTACACCTACATCCTGAATTGGAGATCAGAGCGGCTTCCAACAAGTAGACATCAAGTGCAGATGATCACACTAATTGAGGCTGCTGCATGTGGCGGCCAGTCCTCACAGTATGACCTGATAGCCATATACTTATAACATATTTAACCACTTGCACATATTAAAACTGGTATCGGTAAAAGCATCTGATGGAAAACAGGATAAGATGATTTTGTTCAGTTCAAATTGTGTTTTGTCTACCTTGAAAAAGTTTACTTTTACAGAGAATGGTTGTTCTTCTGCTAAATATGACTATGTAATCAAATGAACATTAGAAAATTTGAATAAATGTCATTTTTTGATGTTATTCATAGTTCTGTTTTAAAGTCAAACTTTACCAGTTTATGTCAAGAAGTCCCAGGATGGCTGTGGTTATAGTGATATATTCCCAGGAAGTAAATCATTCTAAAATCACAGTAAAACCTAATATATGGATATTTGTAGATGGTGACTTCATACCTGAGCTTATTATTGTTGAGTCTGAGGAAGTGTAAGTTGGTCATCTCATTTATGCCAGAGGGCACAGTGATCAGCTGGTTGTGGTCCAGACACAGTTCCACCATGGAGTTGTATGAGCCGAAGAACGATTCAGGTTCGATTCCCTCCCCATCCAGTTTGTTGTAAGAGAGGTAGAGGTACTCTAAACCAGGGTCCATGTGGGCAAAAACGTAACCTGTGGAGGTGTTCGGAGGGAACAGTGTAACCATGGGTGTGCTTTTGTTTCCGTTTCTTTCACATTTACATGAATATAAGATACAATAGCCGAAAGAGAATTGAGGTCCCACTGGGGCTGGCACAGACATCCAGCGTGTCAACCTACTCCACTCCACCACATGTATTTGTCATCTTTTATTTTCATTTAATCTTGTTTGATATTTCAAATTGTTCCTGCACTGTTCTCTTGTTCTTCAAACTTCTGACTCCAACTCTCACTCAAAAGCCTTCTCTACAACTAGCTAACTAGTTGCTGGATTCTCAGCTGGTATTCTCTATTATTGTTCTGTTGTTCTTTTTAGAGTATTGGTTGTCTGGCTCTGTGTGTTCCCAGAACAGGTAGAGACCAGTGGAAACAAAAACAGAACCATGTTGTCAAACCCCTTTCATCTGTTATGTATCAACACTTTCCACCTACCAGGTATCCGCTCTATGTTGTTTCCCACCAGCACTAGGTGGACCAGAGATCTGGGTAGGTAGGATGGAACCAGGTACAGGTGATTATGAGAAAGGTCGATGGACTCCAGATTTCTGCAGAGAGGCAGAAAGATGAGGGCAAGAAGAATTTGTAAGGAAATGGAAATGAGAACGTAAACGATCCTGATCCTGATGACCGCTGATTGAAGAAAAACTGGGGGGGAAATAAGATACCATCCACTGTGATTCTGTCAATATACTGTAGTACCAAAACAAATGTTCCTTTAATCTTTGAAACATTCAGCAACACATCAGGATAGGTGCTAATTAGGGATGTAATGGTACGTGTATTTGTCCCAAACCGTTCAGGTCAGTATGCACTCTAAAAACTATAATTCAGATCCGCTCCAAAATTGAATGGTTTCTTCCGGCACCCTTTCACCAAATTTCATTATAAATCTGTAGTTTTTCTATAATCTTGTTGACAAACAACCAAACCCATAAAAACACAAACAGTACCAAAACATGCCCTCCTTGGCAGAGATAATTATGGCCAATGAGCCACTGTTGAATATTTACATTTTTCTAAATAAATTATATAATAATAAATTATTTTCCCTGCTGTACCGAAAATGAAACGAACCATTTGGTACATACCAAACAGGAATTTAGTGCCTGTTACAACCCTAGTGCTAATTAAACTGAGGTAGCATGCACTGCTGGAAATGGCACATGAAGGTATGATAGTGAAATAAAAAATATCTATGTTGGTGACAGACAAAATTACTTGAAATACATCATTAGTAAATTCCTGTGATCATGGGTTAGAGTGACAGGTCTCCTTTTGCCGGACCTGTGATTGATCCAGGCCAGCGGGGCAATCCTGGTCTCATCCAGCCTGTTGTGTCTCAGAGAAACCACATTCAGACTCTGGGTCTGATTGAAAACTGTCTCTGAGATTTCCTCAATCAGGTTGTTCTCCAAGTACAGCTCCTGAACAACAGACAGAGCAGAAAAAAAGAAACCAAATGTTTGACAGTGGAAAGTCGCTCCTCATTACTGGAATTTAGTGTCAGAGTCATGGTCGGATTCCATCGTGTTGTGTTAATGAAAGCAACAGTAGGAGTGTTACGAGTTTGTCATTAAACACTTGTGCTGAGTGATTTTGGTTCAGAGATCTTGGCAGACAAGTCTGTGGTTTGTTGTGACTGTTATAAATGCATAATCCACCCCAAAATACATTTCTGTTTGTTTTACCTATCTTGGTTAAAACTGGCAACCTAATCAACAGGTAGGACACATATTGGGTATCCTCTTAGTTACTCAACGTCATCCTTAAATCATGATCATAATCACTCTTGACTATACAAAGGTGAAAGTGCCTGAAAAAGTCTTGGAAACCCAGAGCTAATTAGCAAAGAACAAATGTTAAAGGTAGATCACAATCTTCAGGACTTATGACAAGAAAATATGGTGTTTTTGATTTGCAGGGAGCATGTAGAAACTCTCTGAGATCATAATATGAAGTTGGTTTTTAAGGTGGATTTACAGTAGCAGCATGTCGCTGGTGGTTCTCCAGTGTTTGCGGTTAACCAGAGGCCGTAATTATAAGTTGGGTGGACTGGTTTCCCACAGGTAGAAGCAGAGTTTACTCAGTGGAGGAGTCTTAAACATCAGAGCCAAAAAGAAAATACTGATGCATCAGCAAACTTGGATTCCTGACTGACTGTAGCCAGCTGCTCAGAAGGCTTCTGATGTGACTGAATGTCTGTTCAAAATAATATGTTGCTGGTGAGTTTATTGAGAAATTTATTGAGCGTTTCTTTGAGTACTTGTACCTATTTTAGCCAACTGTCGTCCAAAAAGTAAATTTATCTTTGTTCAGAGCCTCCAGATTCCTACAGTTTCACTTTCATTGGCAGTCCACAATCAGTTTACAAGTATAATATAATGATATTCAGTCTTTATCCACCAACCAGGAAACAAACTTGTCAAAGCAGCAATAAGATTATTGAATCCAGTAGAGAGCACTGTGTCCTGGACTATTATGAAAAAGGTCTGGCTATGTTAAGAATACTAATGTGGGGAATGAAGAGTTAGGACCTGGAGAGATGTAGTAGTATTACTTCATACCAGCAGAGACTTGGGAAGACCCTGTGGTACGGTGCGGAAGTGGTTTCTGCCCAGTCGGAGATAGGAGAGCTGGATGAGGGGAGCGAATGCCAGAGGATCTATATTCCCCTCACTCAGCAGATTTCCCTCCAACTCCAGAATCACCAGACTGCTCATACCTTAAAGATAAAGAAATAGATTAACCTCGCTGTCTTAACTGGAAATGTGTCTCAGAATCAGTGCAGCAAATAAACATCTGTCAGACCATAAACAGTCAAACAGTTCATCTGTAAAACAGAACAGTACATTCAGATTTCATACCTTTTTATATTGATACTAACTTTTGTAACATTACTGTAAAGCAGCGGTTATCAAAAAGTAGTGCACAACACAGATTAGAGCTGAAAAATTAAGATCCTCTACACATGATAAGTGGTGTGATTTTTACTTAACAGCAGCTTAAAAATCTCCGCACAGGCTCCTACTTCAACCAAGCAGCAAGTATCACTGCCATGACTTTCTCTCCAGAAAAAAAACAACAGCTCACAAAAGTACAAAGCAATTCTGCTGCTGATCACGTGTTCAGGACCTTTTATTGTAAAATTGTAGTGCAATTTTAAAATCTCAAGCATTATTATAATTTGGCACATTTTAGCAATATTTTAGCATAATCATCATTTGGTAAACAATGATTATACTGGAGGAATTGTCACTGTAGCTAATGACAGGCAGATCTCTTGAATTGGGTGGTTAAGGTCTCTGGATGCTTGTGTCTGTACTGCAGTTGGTACAGTGAACTGTACTTTCATAGTTCAGAAAGACCAACAGAGTGAGTCTATAAACAATCCATGTGGTTGCATTGTGTCATTATCAGACACATAGTTGGCAGCTTGGTGGGTTGTTATTGAGTATTAATGACATTAAAGCTGATGACAGTACAGAGGTGCATTATGGGATACCGTGGCGGTACCTTGGAAGCTGTTTTCATGGATTTCTCTCAGTCTGTTCTCACTGATCTTAAGCTCCTGCAGGGTGGGGGGGAGGTCCGAGGGCACGGTTTCGAGAAGGTTCCCATCCAAGTAAAGACGCCTTAGCATCTTCAGACCCTGTCATACACACACAGGTACTGGTGATACTGGGAAGTAATTGATGGTGATGGTGGACAAAGTTGACTGCCCTCTTTCCATACTATAAATGTTAATTTATTCTTCTGCTTGTGTAACTTCACTTTCAGGTCACATTGAAATCTTAAAGGTGTTTAAAAACACTTGCTAATTCCTTCAGTGTTACTCTTGTTGATCCGTACAACATCTATACGTCTATCTTTGAGCACATTTGCACAATTATGTCACAGAAATTCACATATTTCTTTTCTTTCTGGTTGATTGAATTACTTTAGATGTTCAGTACAAAGAAAGAAACACTAGAATCAACTGAATCAAAAAAGTTGATGTCTTACTTTGAAGGCTTTAGCATCAATACCGGCTGAGGTGAATTTGTTTTTCTTCAGGTTGATCCATTCGAGGTTGGGGATGCCATTGAAGGCTTCTGCTGGGATGGTGCTGATGTTGTTGCCTGCAGTCATAAGATCTTCAGTCAGTTAACACTGAGAGCAGGAAGACTGGCAGGCTTTCTGTTTGCAGTGTACCTCAGATGTGTTTTTAAATCAGTGACTCTCAGTTTGTATGTCTTTTATGTATTTGCATCGTTTGCTCCCTAAATGCAGTGTATGGGATTTGGTTCCAATTACTTTTTTGATTTTTGTTCTAGGATGAGAAAATACCCGAATTGTCTTCAGTTTGGTGTGGGATGGCTAATCTTCAGGTGCACTGGACTGTAGAGTAACTTGGCAGAGGCTATCAATAATATATCAAGGTGTATTGGAGTTGAACATTACTAATAATGTCGCACAGATAAGAAAATGCAGGAACTACAAATATACGACAAAGTAAAATACAGAACTTAAGTGGAATATCTTCAGTGGAAACCAACGGGCTAGCAACCGACAGCGTAAATTGGCAAGAATTGACGGAGAGACACATTGTTGGTTTTGGTCTTTTCATGGGATTTGTTGATAATCCTTGAAGCAACTTAATAGTTCTCAATCACGACCTCCAGTATTTGAAACAAGTAGCCAAAGTAAAATAAGGTGTGCAGAAGGTGTGTATTTTCAACCATTGTTACAAGTTTTGAAAGTTGTAAAGGGTAATGGGTCATTAACTGGATTGAGATTAACTAGAATTGTAACCTTCACACTAGTGTCCTACAGTATTAAAGTGTTAAAGGTTCTTCATCAGGTTGCAGTATGGAGTTCTCTCTGGCTCTCCCTGTGTTGTTGTGTTGTTGACTTACCCTCCAGACTGAGAGATTTGAGCTCAGGTATGGCCAGAGGAGGAAAGTAGGTGAGTTTGGCGTTCTCACACGTCACAGTGACGTCAGAGATGTCGCAGCCCGGAGGAAGGCCTCCTCTGTTCACTACCGCCTCTTCCCCTTCCTCCTCCACCTCCTCTCCTTCCATCTCCTTCAGCTCGTCCTCCGTCGCAGCAGGAGGTCTTGGGATCGGAGCAGGGAGGAAGTCTGGTTCCTCGGGTTCTTCAGGTTCTTTTGGGGGCATCTGAAACACATCTCCTCTCAGCCACACTTCCTCCTCCACCTCCTCTTCCTCCTCCTCTTGCCGCTCCTCTACCTCCTCCAGCCGCTCCTCCTCCTCCTCCTCTATCAGAGCCAGTAGTTCTTTCCTCAAAATCTCCTCCTGCTTCCTCCTTTCCTCTTCTAGCTTCCTCTCCATCTCCCTTGCTTCTCTCTCCGCTTCCTCCTTCCGTCTTCTGTCTTCCTCCTCTTGTTGTCTCCTCCTCTCTGCCTCCTCTATCTGCCTCTTCCACTCCTCCTCCTCTTTCTCTACCTGCAGCCTCAGCGCCTCCTCCTCCTCCCTCCTCCTCTTCTCCACTATTTTCCTTTGTTTCTCTGCCTGCTCCTTCCTCTGCCTCCTCCTCTTTTTCCTCGCTTCATCCTTCTTCCTCAGGCGCTCCTCCTCCTCACGGTGCTCCTCCTCCTCCCGCCAGAGGATTCGCTGGATCTCCTCCTGGGTCAGTGGGGTCACGGACACACCGGGGTCGTTGGGAACTGGGGAGTCACCAGAAAGGTCAAGGCTGAAGTCAGGTTCTAGGGTGGGTGTAGGGTGGTGCCGGGGCAGCCAATCAGACGGCAGGAGGCGGTAGGGGGCCGGAGGTGGTCGAGATTAAAGAAAAGAGGGACAGTATAGAAAGAAGGAAAAGGAATAGAAAGAGAGTGGAGAAGACAGGAGAGGAAGAAAGGGAGGAAAAAGTAGAAAAGAAAACTAGAAGAGAATGATACAGGATGGAGGTGGAAGGTGGTGAGGACATACAGACAGGAGATGGACAGACAGAGACGGCTGTGTGTTAGTGTTGTAGACAGACAGACAGGTACAAGACCAGCTTGTTGTAGCTACAGAGCCGACAGCTGCTGTAGACCAGTCTGGACCAGATCCCATTGAACTGTGCTTGTATGACCACAGTCACGTAAAGTTGGTCTCTTTGTGTTTGTCCCTGTTGGTGCCAGCTGGCACCGAATCTGAATTTAGACCAACCCTACTTGACTAACACTTAATGCTGTTTTATAGTCATAAAACGATGTCCAACAGCTACATCCACCAAATATTACATCAAACAGACTGACAGTGTCTTGTAGCCGTAAGACTTTGTAAGGTCATCGGCAGACGTCATTCATTGGTCATTCATTGTCTATCTATCTATCTATCTATCTATCTATCTATCTATCTATCTATCTATCTATCTATCTATCTATCTATCTATCTATCTATCTATCTATCTATCTATCTATCTATCTATCTATCTATCTATCTATCTATCTAATCTTCATTACATTTCTTTCTTCTTACTCTCTTGATGATTCTTAATCCTGCCTACAAAGCAGGCCAATGAGCACAAGATGAGACCTATTTGATAACATGAGGAAAGTATTTATGAAGATGTATGACTATAAAACAGCTTATAGTGTTTGTGTTTATCTCCATACATACAGCAGACATATACACAATGTACTTATACAGACACGTACATGTTTCTATTGTTACTGCTATCAGGTTAAGGCTGTATTCATCTGCATACAGTGATATCTACATAGAAGTCATAGACAAAATAGGTTTGAGAGGTTTTCTCCTGCTTCACCTCCATACATGCACATTCTGACTGTGTAATGTATGACTGTGAGCAATGAGTTAGTTACTGTCAATTCAACTGCTGTAGTTTCCTTCCAGGATTTCAGACTGTAGAGACTGGTTTCTAAGAGTATCACATGTATGTGAAACAGGTCGTGAGATAAAATTTCTGCTATTTGCCATCAAATAATCCCAGATGCTAAAAACTCATAAGATTAGATGATGCAGTTTGTAAAAACTCTGCACACCTGTTCCATGAAGACATAATGCATTTTCAGGCTCCACAAGATGTTCCCAGACATCTCCCCTCAGTGTGATAAATGTAATACAACGGAGGCAAACCATCTCCATAGCTTTGCTCTCGGTCCCAGGATAGAAAGATATTGGACAAACATATTTAAAACTCTCTCTGATACACTCGACACCAACATCGAACCTGATCCTGTCTTAATTGTGCGAGGAATTTCAGATGCGACATCTACAGTAACAAAAGCACAGCAGCAACTTCTCTCTTATGGTCTTATTACAGCAAAACTAAACTAATCCTGATATTCTGGAAGAAGAAGGAAGTTCCCACTTTTAAGCTGTGGCTCAATGAAATGACCAATACCCTTCACCTTGAAAAACTAAGGTCCTCTCTGAAGAAGAGACCAGAGAGACCTAGAAACAACCAATGATGTACACTCGCCATGTAGTTTACTGGCCAATACAGTTTTCATGTTTTTACTTTGTTAAGAGTAAATTTTGTTCAGTTATGTTGATACTATCTGTTATTAGCTTTGTTTTCCTTCAATGGATATATGTACAGTGAATTCTGATGTCCTACATTTCGTAATTCTTCCTCAATAAAACATACTTGACCCAAAAAAAATACATAATGCGTTTTCCACCCAAAGCCATTAGTCTGTACTCTTCATCAGCTGTCAGCACGTCCCACACTGAAACATTAAACCTGTACAGAACAGAGCTTGACAAACATTTCCACTACTCAGCTAAGGCACAGTCATAAACAGAGAGCTGTCTGACCATTAAACAGATGTTTCTTGCTCACCTGTTTTTTTACAAAACTATCTACCACCTTATTAGAATCCAGGGTCAGAGCCTTAATGTTAGAGCTGCTAGATGCTGATAGCTATTATCCACTCTGAGCTAGCATGGGGGTTTCCTTCTTGGGATATTGAGCAATTCCCACCTGTTACCTTTATCCTTTGTGCCGTATCTGGCCCAAAACAACTTTATAGTAACCTCCCTATAAACTTACTCTCATTCAGGTTTGTTTTATGAATACATCTCACAATAATGTTGCAACTTGTCTACATACAGTCTTAATTTTGATGAGATTGAATTGACAGTAAGGTAAAACCAATCTGTGACATGTTAAAAACAAAATGTGGTATTTTCCCAACATACAGACAAAACAACATGTGTGTTGAACTGACCCAAAATGTGCTAGAGACATTTTTTAAAGCCATGATGGAAACAGGAAGCAACATGAAGAGGCCTCGGAGATGGAAACTGTTTCTCTTCATTTATTCCAGGAGACGAGTGAATTATTTAAACAGCAGCCTAATTAGTTTTAAACCGTTCTGACAACTAAATCTGACAGAGAATCCTAAAATGATTCCACTTAGAAACAGTATCCGTCAGACTACTGAGAACTCCTGTTTGACTGTTTTCAGGTTGAACTGTCTATAAATTCAGAGGGTTACGGGTGAATCCTGTTGTGTTTTAATAAATCCCAGTTAAACCAGTTTTATCAACCACTAATGTGTGAATTAAACTTTATGTGAACTCACCCAAAAGGAAGTAATCGTCTGCTGAATAGTAAAACAGCTGCAGAAGACTCGAGTTGGACCAGGATGTAGTTTAGCAAAATGGTTTTGGTAATAACTTAAATTTGTGCATCAGGTTTTTATGATGTAAAGTTTTGAATGAAACTCTTCAAGCATTGGTCCTGATTGTCAGAAACATTGCTCCTCTCCTCTGCCTCTTGATGTTGTACCATGGCGTGCCACATGTTGTGTTTCTACCTGGCTCTATGCAGATGGGGCAGCATTCCCCAGCGGGGACGAAGGGGAAATGGCAGTGCACTATGGGACAGGTGATCTTGTCACAAACCACCCGCCCTCCGGTACACAGACAAGTCACACAGGGCTTTGGAGACCAGACGGCCTGGTCAAACATGGTCAGACCCTGGTACACACACTGGCCCTGCTTACCTGAAACAACACAGACACATTACAGTCAGTTCAGCAGTTCATTGTGGTCACACAGTGACGCTCTGGGGAGGAATACGAAGGGAATTAATGTAATTTGGCAGTTGTTGATTAATTATCAGTTTGCCAGATAAATCTTGTATTTCAAACTCGAAATACAAATTAATTTAACATCAGTAATAGGCAGCGGAGATCAACACACAACAAAGGTCGTATAACTGCTTAAAGACCTTCATGTATTCCCAAACGGACACAGACAGTGGATGTAAACGTGGTTGTATTTAGTGCTAGAGCTCTGATTTTGAATGAAGTTTGAATGCTTCAGTGTTGAAGTATAAAGATAGCCAACCACTGTTTGGAGTTGTATTTAATCTGCACATTTACACAGTTAAACTGGTCAAATAAACAGCTAATCATTTCTGGCTACATTTCCCCCTCCAGGTTACCTCGACCAATCAGCGTCCATCTTGTAGACTCTGAATTTTTTAACAGAGCAATTAACTTGTGTTGATGGAAATGTTGTTTTACAATGTGTACAGACTCTGTCGTTATTTCCACCAACAAAGCTTTGATTGACTCTATTGGGTTTCCAGCTGTCAATGAGCAGCAATACAATAATACAATCACTGGACAAATCTGATATATGGGCAGCGATTCAGAGGTGTAGAACGAGGCAAATTCAAACCTGTGGGTCACACCTTTAGCCCAACATGCCAACCCTTGTCACCCTCCTCAGTAGCAACAACAGGCCCTGGTTTCAGTAATTGCTGTGTGTGTATAGTCAAATCTAAAGCCTGTACTTTACCATCAGAACCAGACAAAGCAGTGATTTATGGCGTTTCCACTCCTCCCTCTGCATTAACTCCACCTTTCAACATCAGACCTGGGACGGGACGAGGCTACGACTGGCAGTGAGTCAGTAGAAAAGACTGTAAACCACTATGATACAGCAGGAAGAGCCTTCTTGTGTCTATTTTAAGTCTGTCCTGCCTGTCATCTATCCTTTCTAATGGTATGCTCTTTGTTACGTCCATAGAAACACAGGTAGTTAAGAGGCTCAGGTTATTTCTCTTAAATACTGTCTCTCTCCTATCTCTGTTCTTTTTACTGTGAGCAGTGAGACTGTCACCCTGTCATCTCTGCTGGAGCACACATACTTTAGAGCTTTTCTTTTCTCTCTTTATTGTCTAGTAAATTGCAGGGTTTTGTTTTAAATAGTACAGCAACTATCAGAATCTGCTGTGGCACCACCATGCGACGGCGTTAAATGCGTGTCTATTTACTAGCAGGGAAACAATTAGTTGATCTATTGATTCACAAACAATGAACAGTTTTTGATCATCAGTTGGCAAAAACAGTTGTCCTTTGTTTCTCGCTTCTCTAATGTATATTCATCTATTTTATATCTGAATAATTTTCGGTTTTGGACTGTTGGTCGGACAAAACAAGACATTTAAAGAAGTCGTCCTGGGCACTTGTGTGCACTAGATAACGTGACCTAAAACTAACCATCATCATTCTTAGCTGAGGTCTGATGCAGTAAAGGTATATTTTCAGTAAATTATGATTTAGGTAGGCGGTATGTCACTCTAAAGATTATTCAGATAAGTGTAGATGATGTAAACAGACTATTTTTTTGCTGCTGACATGGGTTAGGAGGATCACCCTGCATATACAATCACCTGTCAGACTGTGAAATAAGGTGGAAAGCTCCAGAAAAAGGTTGTAGAAGTAGGTTGACCTTGACATCAGATTATCTTGTCAAACTACTGTTTCCAAAATCGGTTTGTCACGTTGATCCAAAATCTGTTTCTGTAATCCGACACTGAACACAGACGCATGTTCTCATATCCCCAAACGACAGCTAAAAGGCAGCCAAATGGTTTAAATCTACATGAAAAGAAAATCCCCAACAACAGACTGTCACCAACACCACCGTCCCTTCTAATTACATAATGCTGATTTTATTGTTTTAAGCTGAAGGGCTTCCACGTGGCTTTGAGGTTCTTCTTTGGAGTCTCTGTCCTCATCTCTGCGAGGGATTTCTAAGGACTTATTTTCTGACAAGCTCATTTTCCCACAGATGGTTTTCCCTTCTGTTCACGCTGGAATGTGATGATTTGTCATTAAATTGCTGAGCTGTAACAGGCAGTTTCATTATGAGAACAACACGAAGCCTGAGCTGAGCTGATTAAAATGTCCTGTTTTTCATTCAGTTAAAGATTTTATTTAACTGTATTATGATTTTATTGGCTAGAAAACCTTGTTATGTAATATACCACTTAAAAGTTTTAAATACAAAGATACACTCAGTGTTTCCATGTTGGTTAACACATAAACATACAAACGCTGAGACAAAGTAACTCATTAAATTGCTTTTGATTTGCTGCACAGAAACAGTCTCTGTGCCGGTATAAAGATTTTATTTTCTAGATTAAAACAGGCTTTTGGAGGATTATTTCTGGATACATCAGAGATTTAATGTGTACACAGACTAAAGGCTGGAACGTGTCTTTCTATTTGCACATAAACAAACTCGCACAACTCTTGCTCTCTGACTTTCACATGGCTGATTTCTTCCACTTCAGTTCACTTGTTACAATTCAAACTCACCTAACAGGAATTTGTATCCATCAGTTTGATCAGCAGTGCTCTGTGCGTTGTTATATTTAGTAGGGGGAGATTAATTGATTAGTCTATCGACAGAAAATTATCTTCCACAACTTTGATAAAATCAATTAAAGAGCAAAAACGTTAAATGGTTAATGGTTACAACTCATCCATTGGCTGATTTTCTCTGTTAGAGTCAGATTTTCAGTCACATTTGGACTGATATATATACTGAAGTGTTTGTGCATTGATAGAGCTACTGACACGAGTGACGTAGGGCCCTCTGCTCTTTAAAAAGAGCATCACTGACCCGGGTTAAAGTTCAGTTACTGGTCTCACTGACCTGGGTTAAAGTTCAGTTACTGGTCTCACTGACCTGGGTTAGAGTTCAGTTACTGGTCTCACTGACCTGGGATAACGTTGTAGCTGGAATGCTGTTCTTGTAGGTTCTTGTAGGAATCAAGGAACAGAGTATTTCCTCGGTTTTCTCCAGGCTCCACTGGGATGTTGGGACCAGGAACCAGTCTGATCTTCAGAGGTCTAGAGTGCCCCGCTCTGGCCCGCATAGGACCTGGAACACATGGTCTTATCAATGTACATCCACCTCTATCTAGACACTCATAAAAAGGCAGACAGACAGTGTTATCCAGAGTCTCTGGACTCAGTCTGGTTATCAGTTTACAGATATGTTTTGTGTGTGATGTAACCCTGTTTGTCCTACATTATGAGCCAGGAAGAAAATCCATTTTGCTTTAGCCAAATGAAGAGACAACTTCTACAAGCCTTTCTACCTGAGACTGACTTAAATAAGAATGGGAACTCTGAGGCAAAGCCAAAAGTGCGAATCAAATCAGTGTTTTCAGGACAAACAGATGCCTAGTATTCACATATATCAGTGGCTGTTGGTCAAACCACAATTACCATTTACACCTGTTCAGTTTTTAAGTTGTTGGAAGATTAATCCTTTAACTTCTGATGGAGTTAGACTAGCATTGTCTCCTCCCAGTCTTTGTACTAAGCCTGTTCTAATCACATCCTGGATCAATCTGTACTGGACACAGAGATGAAACTGATAACAATCTTCTCAACTGACTGCTAGAAAGAAGATTTGCCAGACTCTTACCATGTCCGTCCCTCTTCCTCTTCCCCCGGTGGGTCCCACCATCCTGGTCCCGAGGTCTGTTCCTGGCCTGGGCGTCCGGGACGGTCAGGGCCACCAGCAGCCATAGACTGACCACTACCAGCCACCACCTCATCCCTGCAGAGCAGCACAGACCAGGTTCAGGTTCAGGTTGCGTCACAGGAACCTCACAGGAACCTTTACCTCCATAGCGGGCATCCCTATGGATGCGTACAGAAAGTTTTTGATAGTAGTGTGGAAAGAAAACCTGTCCATACTCTGATACCAAAGCAATACTTTTTTCAGTGGCTTACTTTCAGAAATATAAACAAACGTTTTTTGCATTTAATACAAAAAAAGCCAAAGTTCTCAAATGTTAAATGTAATTTAAACACAAGCAGCCGTACAGTTTTCAATGCTCAGTTTTACAAACACATTTTGGGCTGTACCCAAAAACGAAATGGGTTTGATACCCTGCCCTGGACTTCACTGGCTCCTCAGCAGAAACACAGCTCGGTAATGAGATATACAAAAGACAAAAGGAAAGGAAGGTTTGGCCAGAGGTTTATGGCGCTGGCGATGAACCGTTATGTCCGAGGGTTTGAGTCCAACCATGGACCTTATTTCTTGTTGTTTCCCATCTTTCTCTTTCCTCTTTGCACTTTTATATCCTGTCAACGCTCAATAAAAACCATAAAATCCCAAAGAGAAACGATTGGTTTTCAGGATTCCTTTCCTTGTTAGTATTTTCCATCTCTCCTCTCTCTCTCTCTCTCTCTCTCTCTCTCTCTCTCTCTCTCTCTCTCTCTCTCTCTCTCCTCGTTCGAATCTCTGTGAAAGATTCTGTGAAATGTAATTGCAGAAAACCAGCAGCTAAAATCTACTGGAACCAAACATACAATCCATGTTGTTTCTCCGCCCGCACAAAAATAGATGAAAGAAGAGGGTTTTTTTTACCTGCAGCAGCTTCTCAGACAAAAAGAGCTGTCAGTGCTGCTGCTGGTCCTCATATAGCTTTCTGCTGGGGTCCTAATGGCTGGTTCCCTGAGTGTGTGTGTGTGTGTGTGTGTGTGTGTGTGTGTGTGTGTGTGTGTGTGTGTGTGTGTGTGTGTGTGTGTGTGTGTAATGACTAGTCTATACACAGCAGTCCTGTCATTACACACCTTTACACACCTGATAGTTTGTCTTCTGTCTGATTCCCCCTCCGAATGGAGAAGATTGAACTAGTTCTCTATATCAGCCTCAATAACAGTAATAAATGTGCTGTAGCTGTGTCCTGGTGCATGATGGGAGTTGTTGATGGTGTTGGAGCCTCTGATTCGTTGGGATGGAGCCCCAAACAAGCTTGAGAGTCCAGATAGAGACATTTAGTTTGTGTTAGTCTGAAAGGCTGAAAGCTGCAAACTGTTAATTTACTGCAGTTCTGAAGCCAAAGATAATTCTCACCGACTCTATAAAGCTCAATGGAGCTTTTTATTGTAGGTCAACATAGTGGAGCAGTTAGCAGGTAGAGAGCCAGATACTTTATAAGGTGATATCAGGATAAGATGTGTTTGTGTATTGTTCCCCTGCCTTTTAAGTGGCAAAAAAATGAATTAAAGCGGCTTTAATATTTGTATTTTTACGGTCGGTCAGGTTTCTCCTCTTGTGGATAAACAAGTTCTATGATAATAATGTTGACACAGTTAGGGCAGCTTGTGCAAAATTATCTGATTATTGTTTCTGTATTGTTTCAACATATAGAAATAACATGTCCTCTACTCTAAAACAATCTCCAAACAGAAAGTCTGAGGTGGTCTCAGGTCCTGATTTTGTGCTCAAACTCTCAAGAAATAATACACATCAAACTGTAACAACTGGGCTCAGATAAGTTACTGATATCAGCGTTTAATTGAAACTTACTCTAATCCCACTTCAGTTCCAGTCCGAACATTAAAACTGACCCAGACATCTACAGTACTACTATTCTACTCGTAGTCATAGTCCTGTTAGTACTGACTTATTACGAATTCTGTTCATCAGCACATAAAAACACTGATCATGTGGGTGAACGAGCGACATGAGTGACGTGTAAACTTTAGTCCATCCGGGGGGATTTATTCATGAGTTTACGTTTATTAGTACAGGCTGCTTCAGGTGCATCGCCGCCACCTTGTGGACTGAAGCGTCAACGCTGATTTGCATGTAGTCACAGACGAAGTATAAACTGAAGTGTTTTAAAGGTCCAGTGTGTAACATTTAGGAGGATCTGTTGGCAGAAAATGAATATAATATTCATTAATATGTTTTCATTAGTGTTTAATCACCTGAATATAGGAATAATAATGTTTTCGTTACCTTAGAATGAGCTGTTTTTATCTACACCACTGCAGGTCGTCATCCATGGAGTCCACCATATTGAACCACCATGTTTCTACAGTAGCCCAGAACGACCAAACCAAACACTGAATGTAGATTTAAAGTTTTTAGTGAGTTTTGCAGCCATCCTAGTTTCTCTTGCCACTAAATCCTACACACAAATTAGTATCTGTAACAACATTTAATACTAGAATTCAAAAAGCCACGACGATTTTAACAAACTCAAATGATTCATTGTTTAGTTTAAAGAACTACAGCTCCCATGCAGTTTTTTCCAGAGCCGCAGTGAACATATTACACATCATGGTGAGTGTGTCTCCTCCAACCATCACATCCGCCCACACGCTCTTCACATTAATCCTTCACTTTTTCTTTTTTCTTTCTTTTTTTTTTTTTTTTTGGATAAAAACAAAACTAAAGTCTGCAGCTCCACAGACTGGAGGTCTGAACACACAGTCAGAAAGCTCTGAGACCCTCCCACCTCAACTCCCACCAATCAAAACCCAGAAGAGAGAGATAGAGAGAGAGAAAGAGAGAGAGAGAGGGATCCATGAGTGCTGAGACAGGGGAAAGAAAACAGGGGGGGAGGGGAGGGAAATGGAAAATATTCAGCAGTTGAGTTTCTGGATGAGCAGGCTCAGACGGAGAGACTTCGTTCAGGAACAGCAGAGGATAAAAATAACCTGGAGACTGTTTGTAGTTTAATGAAACCCAGACAGTTTGTTCTGTTTCTGTTTGCTGCTCTCAGTATTTCACTAATTAACTGGACTCGGAGGAAATAGTTAAAATTATTTCTGAATGACTCCACAAAACTTCCTTTAAGACACAAAAACTCCACTTTCAGCCAATAAATTACATATTCTTCTGACCAAACAAATGACTGAAGTTTATCTCTAACACAGATTTTTAGTTGACAAGTATCATCAATTAATCTCTTTCTTTATTGCTTTGACTTCTTCAAACTCAAATATTCAGTTTGACTTGGTATAAACCAGCTCCCTTAAGCGATACTGAACCCCAAATTGCTCCTGATGCTGTGCATCAGTTTGTGAATATGAATGTTAGTTTCTGTTCGATGGACTGTGAAAAGCGCTTTGAGTGGTCGGAAGACAGAAAGCAGCAGTAGGCCATTTACCATTTACCACAGCGAGATGCCCACACTGAATAACACTGACTTACACAATCAACCAAAACATTAAGATAGACTATTATTTTTCTTTGTACTGACTTATCAATTAATTGTTGTATCTGCGCTACAAATGTCCGAACACGTCGCTGAAGTTTCAAAACTACAAAGCCAAGTCAAGTGCCTCTAACCGGTCTGCACGTATATTTCTGTTGCTCTCTTAGCTTAGCAAATGTTTTTCCTAAATGATTTGATTTCCTGAATTCAGTTTTCCTGTTATGAACCAAGTTAATTTAACACAGTTTGATTATAAATTAAAGAACCATTATAACCGAAAATTATTTAAAATAATAAAACTGTCCAGTTCAAAGAAACTGTGCTTCAAGGTTCAGGAGCTCTTCATGGTGACAGCGATTAACAATGTGTTATCTACAGAGATAATCACTGTCCAGAGCATCAAACCACTGTAGTTTGCCTGCGCTGATGGATTGTGTATTGTATCTCTGATCTCTTAGTCCATCTTTTGGTTTCTAACCACCGACTCCAGCTCCATCAAAGTGTCCACAAATAGTAGTGATTGCTGGTAGTATGTGTTCTTCACTATTCTTCTTTTTTAAAGTACTGTTCCTCCAGACAAATACAGCAGAAACAAAATGATCCTTGTGTTGATGTAACGTCACATCTGCTGATTAAACACCTCTTACAACCTCTGAAAAGTACAAAGATCGAACTCAAAGCAGGAGGTGAAACAAAAGTATAACCAACGGATAGAAGTGACGTTCCTGCAGTGGAAAAGTGACCACAGGGCCAAAGTGACCTTAAAGAACCAGCACCGACAAAGACTCGCCTCACGACTACATGACGTATGCGTTCTGCTGTTTGGTAAAGCTCCGGGTCTCGGGTCGGGTTTGTGTCAAATTTGGCAATAACAGTCAGGTTCAGTTGCGTCATGTCTCATAGATTCAGGTGCAGATCAGGTTCAGGTCTCATGTAGAACTTGTCACCTCTGTGAATCTGATTCAACAACCTCCTCATGCTGTTGGAGAGACAGACTGATGAAAGGAGAATACAGCAGACTCTGTAAAGTTTTGGCTTTGCTTTGCTAAATGTGCACGCTACCAAAGTTATTGTTTAATCCAGACATTTTTCTGTTTTTTCTGTTTCTGTACTTCATACCAGTGAAACAAAGACAAGTTAAATAAACACCAGGGTTTGTTTTTGCCCCCAAAAAAGCAAAACCTAAATAAAGAAGTCGGCCTCAAATCTACAAATGTCCTCTTAGCTCATTCTAATGTCATCAGTCAGCTGAGAGGGGAAAGCTGGGGAACGCTGCATCAAAACCAGGAAGAGACAGACAAATATCTTAGAAGTTAAAGTTAATCTGGATCCACGAGGTCCGTTCTGGTTCTGGTCTGGGTTGCATTTAAATAATCGAATCCTCGAATCCTTATCTCTTAATCACCGGTAGCTTGTGGGGTATTTCTCTTTTCTTTATGGACCTGTGAGGAAGATTTCCTACAGCAACTGAAACAACTGTTTACAAATCAACAAAGGACAGACAGACAGACAGAGAGACAGACAGAGAGACAGACATACTGAGGGGAGGAGCTGAAGACAGACAGAAAGACATTAACTCTACTTTACCAGCAGTTTGAAGGCGGTTGCAGGACTTGAGGCCAAATTCTTCCACCCTGTTTTCTCCTCCTCTGGTTCTGAAGGAGCTCCAGGAGAGGTGTGTGTGTGTCAGTGTGTGTGTGTCAGTGTGTGTGTGTGTGTGTGTTGCTGTGTGATGATACTCTATGTGTGTGTGTGTGTGGGTGGGTGTGTGCCTTGTTCTCGGTGTGTCTCGTGGAGCAGTTGTGTGGAGCAGAGCAGGCTAATAGAGCTGTGAGGAAAGCCAGGATTTGTACTGCAGCTGGGACAAAAAGAGAGAGTGAGAGAGAGAGAGAGTAATAAACAGACAGAGAGAGAGAGAGACAGGTCTTACGTCTGTCTCCCTGTCTCGGGGAGGACACGCCAACATTCTGCAGGATATCAAAGAAAGACAGTAAAGCAAACCGACAGAAGTTAAACGTTCATAAGCTGCACGGTGAAAAGGACAAAAACGGGAGGAAACACAGCGGCTGGTTCAGTCCTGTGGTGAAAATAAAGGAAGGTCTTAGAGTAAGGGGAGGTTTACATACAGGGCAGAGGTCAGAGGTCACGCAGGACCAAACATCCCACTTCAGTGTCGACTAGAAAGACTTTGTTTTAGATGAAACCACCAGAACACGAATGGAGGAGAAGTCCTTAAGATATGAATATGATGAGAGAGTCACATGAAGCACCTCGGGCTGCAAATTAAGATTATTTTCTTTATAAATATTATAAATTAATCTGACAATTATGTTTGGTTAATTAATTCATTGTTTAATCTATGAAATGCCAAAAAGTAGTGATTAATCGATCAGAACTTCCAAAATGAGCTGTTTAAATGTCCTAAAATATTCTGTGTACAGGTTTAAATAAAGTCTGTCATACTGGATGTAACCAGACTGACATGTTAAAGTTTTAATTGGTTATAATTCAAAATAGCTGTCGACTCTCATTAAAGAAACAAGTTTATAACATTAGTTCCTCTGATCAGAACGTCCCGGCTTCTGTAGTTTGTTTGGTTTTGATCCCGACACCACAAAATACTGTAAATCCACCAGCAGGAAAACTTTAGACATTGAGCTCAATGTACCTGAGACTGACGGTGATCAATGACATCAACACACACTCACATTGACAACATCTGTCTGACATTGAAAAATCATTGATCACAGAGAGCAATCGAGAGTACGACATCATTTTAATAAGGATCTAGTAGGATTGTGTCGAACTGTCAGCTCTTTAACATTCACTCAACCCATAAAATGAAAAAAACAGAGAGCAAGACTCTGCAGGTCCATCGAAATATTAATGTGGATTCTGTCTCAACTTGTCGGCATTCACAGACGCACGTTCCCTCTCTTACAGCACATCCAGAGCTGTTAAACTACAGCATCACAATGCATCTGTGAACACACCGAGCATATTTTATTTACAATAACATAACTTTAGATTGGATAAGATGTTCCTTTATTGATCAGCAAAGAGAGGGATTCACATTGGAGGACACACAGAGGAATGTAGAGTAAAGAAAGAGTAAAATATATAATGAAGTATAATATGGTAAACCTGTTTATATCTGTACATGTGCAGTGTTTCTGTAGTAAGAAGGCTGATCGTTTCTGTCTAAAAACCATAAAACCTCTGTGTGAATTATTCAGTCAGACTTTAACTTTCAATTAAAAAGTGGAGAAGAAACGAGTAAATAGACGCTTTCATAGTTGTATTTCTTGCATCATTCTGCTGTAGTTGAGTGTAGAAACTGTTAAAGAACTGTTATATAATAGTTTGAGTGATGATGAGTTTGGGGTTATTTTCTTTGTGCTCTGGGTTCCTTTGCAACTTTTTACAACCCGATCAATCAGACCTATAGCTGAGTTTGTGCTGCATGAGGGACAAAGACAGTTTAAAAGTCAGATTAAATACTGATGAGGAGGACAAAGATGTGATAATATTTATGCATCATCCCTGGTACAATAATATTGATCCTGAGTGTGGACAGAAGAAGGACAGAACGGAGCGAGAGGAAGCTGTGTGTCTTTATTGTGGACGAGGTCTCGTGGGCACATTTTATTCTTTCCCCCCAAGTTTGTTTTCTTCTGTTCAGTAAACACAGTAGAGGACAGTAAAGACCTGGTTCTGGTCTGATTCTGGACCGGTTCTGGGCTGTAGAAACACACACCTGTTGGGACACACCCCCTACAGACTGGAGTATAACTCATATATAAACCCCATTAACAGTTTGTGGAGTCATTAAAGTCGACGTGTGCGGATGAATCACCTCCTTCTGAACGTTGTTGTGGGTCATAAAGTTTACAAATGTTTCCTGATGAAGGACGAAGAGGAGAGTTTTCTCTGGAACTGATCAGCGAACATTTATCAACATTTCGTCCGTCATGTTTGATGAGTGAGGCTCAGCGTTCACGATGCTAAACAGATACAGTAGCGCCCCCCGCTGGCCAACTGACAGTGGTGGACGTCAGTGTCTGTCAGTGATACAGGAGACAACTGATACTGAAACTAAATTACACTGAATAATGAGTATATTATTAATCTTATAGTTTTGTAAATAACTTTTAATGGAAGAGATTCTTGTTTACATGTTTCTCATGTTTGCTGAAATAACCAGTAGTGACAAAGTAATTCACTCATTATTTTATATAGAATATAAAACATAATAAAGAATATTAAAAGTAATTAAACTCATTATTGTTTATTGTTTAATGTAAATTATCAGCATTATAATGACTTTAAATATCACAAAAGTACTTTAAAAAAACAAGAATATATCAGAGAAACAAAACAAATGAGACAGTTTCTGCTTTTAACTTATTTCTTATGTCTCATTTTTATTAATTGTTGCATATGTTTATAAAATAAGAGATGTTGGTTTGGTAGGAACAGATTCTGACGGTTGCTGTAATTGTTCCTCGTCTTTGTTCACACTAGAGTTTCCTTTTCAAAGAGATTTCAATGTGAAAATGTTTTCTAAAGTTGATCTAAAGAGAGTTTGAGGCTTCAGTTAATAAGTTATAATTATATATTAGTTATAATGGTTTTAGTTTGATATATTTCCTCTTCGTGTTTCTTTGCAGCCACAAGAGAAGATTTGATGTTTTTCTGACTAACTTTGGATCAGAGATTCATTAAAGGACTTCAATCACTGAGTGAACTCACAACTTCTGACATATTTTATGGATATTTAATCATTTATATTAAATGTAGAACAACAACAGAACAGAACAACTAATAAACTGAACAATGAACCTAAATATAAAACACAATAACTGCAGATTATTTCCTGTTAATGTTAATCAGAAATTAGTTTTCCTGATGATTTTAGGGAACTCTTTATTAAATTATCTGTCTGTTACATTTTATTAAACATAAAACAATCATTAAGACTCAATTGGCTTCCTTTTAGACGATTCAGTGTTTTCTTCTCATTGTTCTATCGTCTGTTTGGTTGTTGTAACTTCTCTAAAGCAGGACGAGGCTGATTATCAGAGACTGAAGCTCTGTGAATATAACTTATATAACTTGTGTTCAGGTTTATAAGTTTATATCTTAAATAATAATCCGAACTTTTATAACTTAAACTATTATACTATTATTATTATTACTATTATAACTGAACAGAAATTAGAAAGTTTTCTTCCACCCTAAAATCAGAAAGGCCTTTATGAAGCTTTGTCGACCCCCCAGGGATCCGGCTGAAGCTTCATATTAACTTTGGTTGAACTGTTGAAGGTATTTTTACAAGGAAACTGGATTGTGGATCACTTACAAAGTAACGAGAGTCTTCAGTCAGTGAGGACTGGAAGAACAATCAGAGACTAGAATCTCTTTAATGTAGAGATAGACTGCTGTGAATGCTGGGAAATAATCTGTGAAATACAAAGAATGAGGATCGTTATCATATCGAGTGAGTTTATCTCTCTCTGTCTGTCTGTCTGTTTCTGTGCAGGAGAAATATCCGTCTGTCGTCTCTCTCCCTGGAGGCTGCAGGTCAGAGGTCATGAACCTGAATCACCCTGAGCTTCCTGGGTAAATACACTCACACTGATGGAGAGCGCAGTAAACTCTGAGCTGTGAATCTCTGTGAAATCACCTGTGTGTGTGTGTGTGTGTGTGTGTGTGTGTGTGTGTGTGTGTGTGTGTGTGTGTGTGTGTGTGTGTGTGTGTGTGTGTGTGTGTGTGTGTGTGTGTGTGTGTGTGTGTGTGTGTGTGTGTGTGTAGCTGCGTCCTGATGGTTCATTGGTCGGTGGAGGTTTCCAGAGAGGGCAGAGTCACTCCAAAGGTCGACCTGTTGACAAAGATCCCCGAGAGAGGTGAGCTGTTCGTCCTGCACTTTACCTGTAAACTCTAAAACTGACACAATAAAGTCAGACGGTTCCTTTATTGATCCCTGACACAGCGGGAATGTAGAATATATAACATAAATAATATATATATAATATATACAATAAAGTGGAATATGGTCCCGATGGATAAATAAATCACTAAATCCAACAAATAACAAATCAGGTTGTTTAAACAATAATTACTTAAACTCACATTTTGTTGATAGAGACCCGATAATAAAGATAAAGATAATAAATAAAGATAATTTGAAGATAATGTTGGATTTGTAGCTGTAATCTGTCCTTTAATGCTTTATCTTTGACTGATGTTCAGTTGTGTCGTTGGAGGAAAGTATAAATGTAAATTCAAAATGTGTATTAAATTAAAGATTAAAGATTCTCAGATCCCCAAAAACTGCTCAAACACGTGAGTAGCACCAATATAGGATTTCATCTCCAGTGTAAATTACACCTTTAACTCTACACAGGAGACACTTCTGTAACAGATCAATTATTGATCAGAACAAAGAAACCAGATGGTTCCTGAAACGGCAACTTAAAAACTTAAACTACTTAAGATTTAATTAATACTCAGTTTATTTTACAGGTCTGTAACTTTCTAATAATTTCCTTTTAACTAAACTTTTTACTTTGGTCCTCATTGTTTGGAACATTAATTTAAATCCAAGGAAATATTCATTAGATTTCTACTGAGAGAGAACTTAATATTTAATTGTTAATCTGATCTGAGAACTGAATAAAAGACTCATAGTTCACAGTATTTTCATTATTGATTAAACTGTTAAATAAGAGAAAAGTGCCGGTAAACAAACTGTGTGTGTGTGTATGTGTGTGTATATATATGTGTGTGTATATATATATATATATATATATATATATAAAAAATCAGTTATTTTCTGCCAATTGACTAATCACTGTCTATTTGCAATTAACTAATTAGTGCACAAATATTCTCTTTAATTAAGCCAATAATAATAAGTGTTTCTAACATCGTCTCTCTCTGTGTGTCTCTGCAGCGCTGCAGTTGTTTCCCTCTCAGCCTGTAGGCGGCGCCGCGGAGGCCTTTCAGAGCCTGCTGAGGATTCTGGGACCTGAAGCCGCCGTGGAGTCGATCATCAGGGCTGTCGGCCTTTAACCAGACACATAACTCACATCTTCATCTCTGTGCACAACTACCAGATTAATGTACAAACACACGGCGACGGTTTAGTCTCTTATAAATCTTTATTCAATAGAAAGAGCCCGACTGTGACAGCAGAGCTCACCGGTCAAAATCTACAAAAATAAATAATTTAAATACAAAATGCCAGACAGCAGTGTCGCCTTTGTATTCTCAAATAGTTTTCCTCTCTCAGCTATTTACACACACGCAGTTATTAGAAGTCTGTAGGAATCACAGTGCTGTGATGTTTCTGCGGGCTGACGCTCAGGCAGCGGGCGGAGGCAACCGACCAATCAGACGCCGGCTTCACCTGTCGGAGCTTCACCTGTCGGAGCTTCACCTCCCGAGGACAGGAAGGTCTGAACTTTTAGTTTATTAATCTTCAGTTTTTAGAGCCTCAGTTTGTGTCTTCGTCTCATCGTTGTATTAAATCTCTGATAAGTCGTAAAAGGTTGAAGTTTTATTTCCTAAACAACACAAAGATGGTAAATTATTTAATTCAGATTTATTTATAAACCGCAATTTAAAACTAGAAACTGATAAAACTCAACTCGTTCTGGAGCGTTGGACCGTCACTCAGTTGTTGATGTTTAAACTTCACATCAACAAACTCAACATACTGATGATGTTAAACAGCTGAAAGCTCTAAAGTAAGTAAGTGAACTGATTGTTAAAGAATAAACAGACAGAAAGAGTTTTATCTTATATATTTATTTTATATTTATATTCGTAATAACTTTAGTGTCTGGATCAGGAAATAAAGTTACTGATAGAAAGACACTCTGATCTCTCGTTCACACTTTTTATTCTAAACGTAACGTTTCAATCTAAGAACAAATGTTTGGGGTCGAAGCGTCGCGGCCGCGTAGGAACGAGAGATCAGTGTGCGGTTGGACCTTCAGAGTTTATGGATGTGACGGTTTATTGTAATTACAGTTTACAAACTAACCAATAAAGATTTCACATCAGCCAAAATGAGTTGTTCAAGATAACAGAACATATATTTTATGGTTACGTTGTTAATGCGCCGTGTTATAAGCTGTCTGATAACGTGAAACCTCAAATTATAAACACGTCCATCGTCCACGAGACACAAACTGTGGCTGTTTTCTTACAGATTATAAAAACCGAATCAGAATCAATTTTAAGTTCACAGAACATTTTAATGAGTTTTCTGTTCAGACGTAGCTGCGACATTAATGATCGGTTGCTTTGGTGTAAAGTTTTATACTGAAGTGTCAAATCGAAACCAAAGTCATAGTAACATCAGATCTATGAGCCTCTAATTCCCATGAGCCTCTGCTCTCCTGCCTCGCTGCCTGTTGCGTCTTCAGTTCAACAGTTAGAACGATCAGTGGTTGGTTCAGTTCGACTGCCGTCCGCTCTCCTGCCTTTAACTCGTCCGTCTCCCAGACAACGATGTGACTGAAAGGACAAACTGTCGGAGTGATGAGTGTTCGACAGAATCTGTCCGCCGGTCGACCGACTGACATCTGAAGTTTTAAACCTGTTTTAGTGTTTGGATTCAACAGATTACTGATCTGGTCTGGGTGGATCAGCTGACGGGTTTCAGTGCTGTAGTGTGATCTGATGTCTGATGGCGGTCGGAGAGCGGACGCTGTGAACAGAGGAACTGAAGTCAAGTGTTACCAGTTTATCTAAAGCCTCCGTGAGTGCTGCTGGTTCGAGAGGACGACGAGGTCAGAGGTCACAAAGACCCGAGATAACCCGAACACAAACAACGTCTGGACTAAAGTCCTCATACACTCATCTGCTGCTACGGGTTCGAGCCTCGCCGTCCTCAGAAACCTCGCGGCGCTCCTGAACACGCCGTCTTTCAAACATCAGACGACCCTGTTGAGCTTTGTTTCGGGTCGCCAGGAGTTCGAGGTACTGAGAGTTCACAGCTGCGTCCACAGCAGCTGCAACACTGACCTCCGCTGTGAACGCAGCCTGTAACAAAGTGAGTTATCTCCACACACACACACACACACACACACGCACACGCACACACCAACCTCCAGTCCTACCAGAACATTTAGGCACATGGACAAACACATAACAAGCCACTTATGGCACAAAGAAAACCAGCGGAGCAGCAGCATGAAGCTCGGCCCGTCTCTGTTACCCAGAAGCCCTTGCTCCGGTGGGTGAGATTGATCTTCTGTTTAAAACCGTCTCGTGCTTTAACGCCTTCTGCTCTGCCGGCGTACGGTGTGAGGACGCATTGAACACGAGAGTGATCGACCGACCAAAACAGCGAACTCGTGGTTGAATTTGTGGTCTGGGGTTAAATTGTTAATGGGGGGGGGTAATGTAACCGTACCGTTACCGGGTTAGTCAACGAGGGAACGTTAGACGACTAATGAAAGAAAAGTTTTCTTCCAACAGAACGAGCTGAATCCTATTCTGACAACAAAGAGTTAAAATAATGTTTTATCGACACCAAAAAGGAGGTTTTACATGAAGAACCTACGAGAGCTGCTTGGTTAGAGGTTAGAGGTTAAAGGTTAAAGGTCCCTGCTGGACCTTAAAGGGTCAGTTTACCCAAATCACTCATACGTCATATGTTTCCCTCTTCGTCTTTATTTGTGCAGGTTCTGATCCGACTTTAGTAGAATTCAGTGTGTTCAGATTTGAGAAAGATATTTATAAACAGTGTGATAGATCCAGTTACACAGTTTCTGAACTGTAATGTTTATTTTTCAGTGCTGTGATTATTAAAAACGTTTATATTTTAAACCTGCACGAATAAAACAAACAGATTTCACTGAGAACGTTTATTTTAGGTGAACTGACCCTTTAACGACACTTTCCTCCAAACATCTGACCTTCAACATTTTGGCACAAACGCCCGAAAACATCTCAACATCCCACCTCCAACTGAACGGGGCTCAGCGGAGACCACAGGATCCAAACGTCTGCAAGGGATTATGGGTAAAACAACTGTCTCACACAGACCGTTTGGTGATCAGTTCAGCCCCCCCCCCCTTCTGTGGCTGTAGCTATGGTAACTAGTGCTTCCGTTACCATAGCGATACTTCACAGAACACAGTTCAACCAGGACACACATACTGGCTCCGCCTCTGCGCCGACTCCACCAGAGGCCCCGCCTACATTCAGGAAATGACATCATAAGTACGTCACCGCTCGACGACCTGCTTTTCTCTCTCCTTCACTTTCACTCTCTTTTCCTATTTTCCTTCCTTTCTCTCGGAGTGTCGCCGTCAGCAGCGTCGCCGCGGAGAACGAGCGGCCAGAGATCGTCGCCAGGACAACCGCAAAAAAGTCCCGTCAGGAGGTCAATCCGAACTCACGCTCGCTGAAAGTTTTCTAATAAATACGAATCGTGACAGAGGAGAGCGGCGACGTTGGGATTCAACCCGGACAGGAGCGGGGAAGTCGGTCGCCACGGCGACACAAAAACTCTAGAAAATCGGTAACAGAAACATCTGGAAGTCGCTTGAACGTCTGGAGATTTAGTGGCGAACTTGGTGGAGATTTAGAGCCGTTGACGTTGAGCTGAATCAAAGTGCTGCAGTAAAGTCTCGGACAAACGGCTCCGGTCTGACGTGATTCTCGACCTCCTCCTCTGAGGCTGCACGCCGCTCACACCGGGTGGAACAGCAGCGTGCAGTCCTCTCTCTCCGCCGCCGCGAAGATGCCGGGGAGCGGCGGCAGAGAGCCCTTTGGCAAGGCACCGCCGGTCCTCAGGTAGCAGGAGACGATCTTCTGGTCGAGGCGCAGCTGGCGGGGGATGCTGTCGAACGGCTTCGGGTCCAGATCCAAGATGGAGACAGAGTAAGAGAAAGCAGGAGGTCTGGAGGAGAGGAAGTCCCTGAGCCGCCTCTGACTGGAGGAGGAAGAGGAGGAGGAGGAAGAGGATTAATGGAGTCTCATGTTTCTGGCTCCACCTGGTGGACTTGAACAGTACATGTGCCGTCGTCAGGGAAACAAATTATCTTATTGAGTAATAACTTTCCACCGGGAGACAAATGAAGCACTTACTTTCTGTGTCTTACAGATTAATGGTTTAATTCAGAGTTCAAGCTGACATCATTTACTTACCCTTCGTCATCCTCCTCTTCCTCGCTGCCGGGCACCAGGGCGACCATTATGGAGCAGTCCTTGGCTGTCATGGCAACGCGGTACTGATGGACCTAAAGTAAAGCACACAACAGGTAGACAGCCGTTAAACACCTGAGCGGAGAACAAACCCTGAACGAGTCGCTGCAGTTTCCAGCTCTCGACGTCTCTGAACAACCTTCCTGGTCAATCTATAGTTCCCCTCAGTTTGTTATGTGGAAATACTCGACTCCTCCTGTATTGATCCAAATTCCCAAACTGACAAGATGTTTGTTTCCCAGCATTCCTCTCTGGGACTTCAGTTCCCTCCTAAAGTTTCTGTGGACAGTGTTTGTTTTATTATCCGTTGAGCAAAAACAATTGTGACGTGATGTTGTGATATTTTTAGACATGAAGTTTGGGGACAACGTGAACATTTCCAGTGAGAATACAACTGATAAATCTGATTGATTGGTGGCCTGTGGCTCAATGTTTCACAGGAATTGTGCTTTTGAGCACAACCAGTCAGCTGACATTGGGGGGGGTTACAGTAGGAAACCAGGACCAGGTGTTCCAGGTTAACGTGGATCCAGACTGACCTTGGCGGCAGCGTACTCCACAGAGCCGTCGTCCTCAGTTGGACATTTCTGCAGCTTCTCCAGGAAGGCCTCGTTGTACGGCCCGTCCATCTGGAGACGACATCTGACAGAGACACAGACAGGAAGTGATGCCGGAGACTAGACGTCGGCCCCGATAAGTGATCGATGAGCAGACACGGTGTTATTACCTCTCCTTGGGGAACTCCTGCAGGTGTTGCTCCACTCGGCGGTACAGAGGATAAAGCCCTTCGATGTCCTGCGTGTCCAACATCTGAGTCTGAAGAATCCTGAACAGCACGCTGTCGCTGGGTAAACCCTGAGAGCCTGCAGACAGACAGACAGACAGACAGACAGACAGTTTTAGGTCTATAAAACAAATAAAAGTTAATGTTTAAAGCAGCGACAAGGAGCTTTTATTTTGTGTTGATTCTGGCGCCACCTGTGGACAAAAGTGGTAGTGTTTCCATCTCATAATTTAATTGATTACAAAGGGAATCAAACCCAGTGGCATTAAAATAACCATATAGAAATAACCTAGAAACACCTTCTCACTGATGGTCTTTGTGTGGTTCATATGGAGTTATCAGTATGAAACGGTTTCATAACCAAATAAATGGTTAAATCAGGAGAATTTAATGCACAAAAGATGAGTCAGGTTTTCAGTTTCACACATTTACGTAATCAGATTCAGATGTTATGAGCAAAGTGTTTGTGTTGAAAAGAGACAAATGCTTCTTTCACACTGCAAACATTTGTGAAGGAGGCTGCTGCACAAGAAAAACCTTTGTAAGAGACAGACAGACAGACAGGCTGCCCACAGATCTGTTAAGACAGTTAGTTAGAATTCTCACCAGAAAAAAACAAACTAGTCAGTGTGACAGAGCTTCATATGGTAGACCACAACGTCTGTTACTAATGCTTCCTATTATTATTATTATTATTAACAGAGTAAAGACGGGAGGTAATGAGTTGTAAAAGTGTGTGTGTGTGTGTGTGTGTGTGTGTGTGTGTGTGTGTGTGTTTGTGTGAATAGAGAGGAGGGGAAGCAGGAACAAAAACATGAATTAAGTTTTAAAAAAAACAGTTATTCTTATTACTGAAGAATCTATCAAACGTTCTCAGAGTTCAAGAAGACGTCTTCAAATGTTTTGTTTTGTTCAACCAAACAGTCAAAAATCAAAAATATGTTCAGCTACAAAGCTGAGAGAAAACCTGTCTGAAGGCACAGACTGGTAGACAGACAGGTGGACAGACAGGTTCTCACCGTGTCGAATCCTCTCTTTGTTGAACAGACTCGCTTCACAGAAGCTTCGTCCTTCCCCTTGTCTGTCCGTCACCACCCCTCCACCTCCTCCTCCACCACTCAGCAGGGCGTTCACCAGGATCTACAGAGAGGGGGGGGGAGAGGGAGAGGGAGAGAGAGACAAACAGAGAAAGAGAGAGAGAGAGAGAGAGACAAAGAGAAGGAGGGAGAGAGAGAGACAAACAGAGAAAGAGGGAGAGAGAAACAGAGAGGGAGAGAGATATTTCAATGAGCTTTATCACATCAGTGTCTTCTGGTTAAAACTTTATATCCAATAAATTAATTGCAGAATAACTTTAACATTAAAAGTTAACAACAACTCTAAATATTACAAAGATCAACTGATAAATATCAAACTTCAATATTGTGACGGTTAAGGATTATTTTAAGTTTATTGCCCAGCACTTATATATTTTTATTTTGATTAAAAGGACACTTCGGTATATTTGTTGGTTTTACCTGGATGAAGTCGTTGAGAACAGCTTTACTGGTCATGTGACTGTTGATTCGGTTGTTTCCATACAGGAAGTACGGTCTGAGATGATGCAGCAGAGAGTTCAGATCCAACGAGTCGTCGCTGCCCTCCTTACTGCTGTAAATACACTGCCCGCCCTGAGGCACACACACACACACACACACATTACTCTGGCTGTTTAGTGTCAGCATCAGGATCATGTGATGAATCTATTTTTAAGACGTGAAAGTTTGAGACCTTCGAAGATGAATTTCTCAGAATATTTGGTTCAAGGTAATTCCCTTTTTTAAAAGATAAGACAATTGTTTCTCTTGTCCACACTAGAGATGTATTCAGTAAACACTCACTGAATACCTATAAATAATATTAAATTCCTGCCCAATAGATCCTCCTAAATGTTACACTCTTTAAGATCTATCATACTCTGATCTGTCTGTGACAATAAAGAAGAGAAACACTGGTCACACTTCACTAGAGTCGATGCAGACACAAGGGCAACAAGTCTTTAGCCTGTACGGGTGGAAACACGAGCGTACATCCCACACAGACGGAGAAATACACTACGTATCAACTGCCTGGCCCCCTCGTCCTCAGTGATATTAAGTATACTAGCAACAAGCATGGAGTTAAACATTCATTACATTGATGATTAACAGTAAGCATTATCCAGCTGATTGTTCAGGTATCAATATGGTCGTGTTTCATAAATTCAATCAGAATAGTCAGAACATCACCTGGACACTCAATCCGCACTGTGGAGACACACACACACACACACACACACACACACACACGTATTGTGTAAGTACAGAGAGACAGACAGGGTGTGGTTGTGTGTCTCACCTTGAAGATTTTGAAGTTGTTCTGAGGTTCTTCTATCAGATGTCTGATGGCGAAGTGCATTCTCTGTCTGTTCCTGAGAGAGAACCCAGAGAACGTCAGCTACACAGCAGTAAAACTGTTTTATTCTCAGTGACTGCAGTGAGGAACATTACACTGCACAGTGGTTTAATGCTGTGTCCATAAGAACCTTATAAACAGATCATATGTACATAAACTGCACTGTTATTGTGTGTTTTATTCAATATTACAGTGGAGTAAATGCAGCAGTGTTGTAACAGTCTCACCCTGAGAACAGATCTAGAGGACAGTACAGACTGCGTCTCTTCCACTTCCCATTGGCAACCTGGAGACACAGAGAATATAAAGTAATGAAGAAATAAACATCACAGAAACAACAAGAGTTTGTAGTGGTGCTGAGCTTTTATTTTGAAAATCTGTCAATAGATCTGATCCAATCTTTCATTAAGCGTACATGTTGGTTAAATATGTATCTGACACACTGAAATAACCTATAATATTAACCTATATCTCTACTTCTACTAGTTACACTACAGTTGTTTCTGTCGTTGTGTTGTATTGTAGTTGGACAATAGTTGTACAAACAGTAGTTGTAGTTACCTTGTAGTGTTGGTGCATGCAGAAGCGGCACACTTTGGTCTTGATGTCTTTGCTGACATGTTTGGAGGATGGCAGGAAGCCACATTTAGGCTAAAAAAACAACACAAAAACAGCAGCTGAGTAACGTTCACTCTCTCTCTCTCTCTCACACACACACACACACACACACACACACACACACACACACACACACACACACACACACACAGTCACACAGTCACACTCATGTGATTTTATGTTTGAGTGATTCACAGGACAAAGCCTGAACCTTGCTGCTCCTCAGGAGGGAGAACATCATTCCTGAGAACATCAGGAGTTTTATTACCACAAATTAAACTGAAATTGAAAGAAAATTCCTACTGAGTTAACTAGGGAAGTAATTTTTGAAGAAACTGAATATTGGATGTTGGAAAGTTGACACTAAACTGAATGTAAATGAAACGTGGAATATTTGAAAGGTTTGTTGAAAGGCTTTAAAATGTTTGAAGAAGAGTTGGAGAATGTTTAGTTAGTCTGAATGGGATTTAAAAGTTAAATAAACTTGTTACTTGTGCAAGTTGGACCACATTTGTGTTTATTTGTACGACACAACACAAATAAACACAAATATTCCCCCATAAATCTGGTTTATTACAGTGGTATGAACCCAAAATAAAGACATTTTTCTGCAATTTAATTGCAGTAAACATATTAAAAGGATGATGCAATCACTACTTCATGATGCCAGTTTGTGAAGTCTGAATTCAAGTTTTGTTGTTAAATAAAGTTGAATTAATGTGAGAAAGTCTACGGTGTTTGAGTGGAGTTTCAATGAATGAGTGAATACGAGTTGAAAAAAGTTTTTGAATGAGGAAAATTTCCAGGAAAACCAGGAATATTTCAAAAGCATAACAAGAGTAAGCAAAAGAGAAAAGTAAAAAACAGTTTAATATCAAATAAAGGGGCAGAATAATAATAATAAATATATTTTAACTGTATAAAAACAATCTGTATGTTCTTCCAACATTCACACAAACACATTTTATGTACCTTGATCTCGATGCAGAGCGGAGGAGTGTGTGTTGGCTGGTGGAGGACTGGAGAGGTCAGGTTGGGCAGACAGAGAGCACAACCGCTGTATATGTCCATCACCTTATCACAGCGCCATGCTGACACACACAGACCAGACACAGACACACAGACCATGTTCAGTATGTGTGTATTGTGTAAGTAAAGTAAGTTTTAGATATTTGCTACAGATTAGTCTCTGCCATTAACCAGTAAACTTTTTATTTCACAATTCTTTTGGACTAAATATTTTGTGTTTGTAAACTTGTTGCCTCAACTAACGATTGTTTTCATTACTTTTGTCTAGAAAACATCAAACAGTGAACAGTAGAAGTGACAATCACAGATCTCCTATATCCTCGATCATCAAATATCTTGTTTGATGAATATTTAATTTAATATCATGTAAGACCAAGAAAAGCTGTGAATTATTTCATTTTCAACTTTGAACAATCAAGTTTTGGTATTTTTGATTGAAAATTTACTTAAACAATCAAAATAGTTGCTGATTAATTCTCTTTTGATTGACTAATTAATTAATGAATTGACATTGTTGTAGCTCTACAATCTTTGAATTGAATTATTTTCTTTATCCTGTCAGTCTTTTCTTCAAACTTAAAGACCTGAAGCCCAAAATCCAACTGAACACAGCTCGTGTTTCCTGAGTTTGAATAACAAAAACACCCAGAGACTCGACTCTGATCTCGTCTCTGAGAAAGTCTTAAAGTTTTAAAATGTATCCGCCTTCTTGTGAACGTAACCTCAGAGTAAGAGAAACATGAGCTGAGTTCAACCTGAACCTAAGTTTCTAGACTCAAAACATAAATTAGTTACACATCAATAGACAAGAGCTCATAAAATACTGATGCTGAATCATCTTGATCTTATTAGTGAGCGTTCAGGCTGATTTTATTACCTCCAGATAGACCCAGGATAGCCGTTTCCAGTCTCTGAACTACGCTTACTGCTGGCTGTAGCTTCACATTTACAGTTCAGAGGTGAGACTGGATTCAACCTTCTCCTCTAACTCTCCCTAATGTCAAACTGTCCATTTAAAAACAGAGTTAAATTTCTCGCCACAGAAATGATTAAAAAACAGTTTTACCTGGTCTTTGATGTTGAACTTTGATGGAAAGCTGTCGCACAAACTCAAGCGGCAGTTTGACCACTTCCTGTAGAGAAAATGAAGCCGGTGGCTTTAATCCAGTTTGTGAACAGAACATTTCCATACTTCTGTCTCTGCTGCTGAGTCCTAGTTTCTGTAATCTACTGCATGTAAAGCACTGTGATAAAGTACTAACACACACTGCTGCATTATTAGACACATACTGACAATCACATGAAGTTACACGCTGTCACATGAGTCAGGACACATGTTCGGATGCTGCCTGTGATTTTTGATGCTGCTCTACATTTTTATAGAGATATTCAGCAGATACATTTAATTTCCAGCTTCGAATTAAATCTAAAACTAGGCTCCATCTGACCGAGGGGACGGATGTTCATGTGCTAAAAACACTGTAACTCATTGTTGGTGGTTTATCACCCGGCTCTGATCAGAGTGTATAACCCAATAAAAACACCTCCAGTGGGAACGCCCCTCTATTATATCTTATCGGCTCGAATTAAAGAAATGTGTGGAGAACATTTTTAAAAGTGGAACTTCCATTTACATGTTTTTGTTTTGTACTTGGGGGAAAAGGGAACCAGAGAATAATAAATTCAGGGGCCAAATATTTATTTTAGGTAAAACGACACTAATTCTCGTGAACTGGGGATATTTTCTTCTTCTGTCTTTGATATTGATCTGAAATGGGGTTTTTTTCCCACTCAAACGGAAACAATGTTAAAGGAAGTGCAGCACACATCTGTCCTGTCTCTGAGCTTTATGTGACGCCTACAGCAGACACCAAATGTGTCAGACAGAAGATTAATTAAAGTTGATGTGAAAGTGATGAAACTGGAGCTTTTCTGGGTTGACGCGCATTAACAATGTGACGATGGTGAGAGTCTACATACTGATGTGTTGCATTTTCTAACAATCTCTTTGGCAGTATTAATAAATAAAGTCCAATATACTCAATTGTATTTGTCATTAATGGTTCCTAAGCTGTGTGAGTTTCTCTTTTACTTTATTATTATTATTATTATTATTATTATTGTTGTCTTTTGCTTTAAGGATTTTACACGTAATTTGTAGTTTTCTGGAGAGTAATGTTTTGATAAGTGAGAGTTTATAAATAAAAGTCTGGAGAGACGTGAGGTTACGAGACTTCTGTAGCCTCCTTCTGCGGCTACATTAGCCACTACTAGCACAGCACACCGAACAGCAGTCAGGTTGCATTGTGGGTAATGTAGGCACCAAGTTTTGACGAGGAAGAAGAATGTGTGGTTCTGCTGTATGGATTTTGACAATGCTAAATGAGTTGAGTCTGGTGTTTAAGTGGTGTTTTAAGTTAAGAGTCTTACTCCGCTGTGGATGAACTTCTCTCCCAGCAGGCTGCTCATCACGTTGGAGCTGAAGTCAACAATGTTCTGGATCTGCCGGTAGGCCTGCTCCACGGTCTGGAGGACAGACAGACACACAGACAGACAGTTAACCAGACAGACAGGTAAACAGCGTGTTATTCCTGCTCTGAGACGCCGTCTGTTCACAGAGCGGTGGAGTTATTTGTCCTCTCTGAGCTCACAGAGGCACAAAAGAGGAGCACAAACTCAGCTCAGTTATTATCTCACTTCACTAAAACCAAACACCAACATGTGATTGTGGATAATCTTCCTCACAGAGCCGATCGCCGCCGGACGCCGTTCACTCTCAGCTGTGGCGCAAACAATCAGCGGCTCAGAGCTTTATATAAAAAGAGGTTTCAGGACACAGACGTTATCTTCCTTCATCAAATGTGACCACGTTGATTTCTGTCCACACTGGGATCCTGTACCAATGCTGTGACTCAGTTATTCCTCACAGCTGACGAGTCCGGAGGTGGTTCCCTCCGTATGTTGGACCTTTTGTTTATTTGGTAGGTGCCATCGGTTACTATGGCAACTACCGGTGTATTGACAGAAAAGGCAGAGTTAAACCCAAACTGAGCAGATTTAACCCACTACTAGTAGAGGAAGCCTTCAAACACCACAGAGTTTGAGTTATAGATGTTTTATTATTTAGAAAAGCTAAATATCTTCTATAGATTTGAGCATATATGGATGGTTATGTGTTAAACCTGTATCTGTGGGAGGATCTATGTGCCTGGAAACAAGCAGAAAGTTTTCCTGAGGGCTGATTTACGGCCCACAAGCATTTAAATACCTCTATCTGTGCATATGACTATGGACACGCATGTAAAAATATCTTAAAAAAAAGGTTTTGTACGTATTAATAAGGCCTTTTTCTAATAATAAAACAGCTGTTGTTGCTCCTTGTATTAACAGTAAATCTACTTCAGAGTGACGGTGGCTGATGAGCAGCTCCAGGTACATTTGAATTTCAGGATGTGGCCGGGCCGGACTTTACATTAGGATTTACATTCGGATCAGCGACTGTGGCTTCGAGTCTTTAATCTGACAAGGATGTTAATATCAGCTGCTGCTCCACTGACAAACAGAGCTGTGACTGACTGAGCGTTGCACTGCTGCACTCAGCCATTACACTAAATTAAATTCCTATTATAAACCCTGCTAACAGGTTTGAACCAGAGCTTATCTACAGTTCATCCAATGTCTGCTCTCTCCTCTCAGCCCTGAATCAATCAGCCTGACAGACAGTATTATGACCGATAGTCCTCTCCTTCACTGTCACATAACACAGGCTGCTGGGTTAGAAAACCATCAACCATTATGACAGTTTAACACCTGTTTGTGCCTTCAGGTGCTTGCTCCGGTGTTTGTGACAACCTGAGCAGACACTGTAGGATTTTATTCATAAACCCTGAGTTAGCTCACACTACACATTATTAATTAGGAGGAGCTCACAGCGAACCCCGATCGATTCTGTCCATTGACACTTCCGATAAAGTTTTGAGACTGCATCCCCCTAAAATGTTGTAAAAAAAATGCAGCTTTACTTCTTAAAAATTCTCCTTAATTTGTACAGAAAGTCAGAAAACAGGAGGCTGGAGCTGCAGCTGTGTTGGTCTGTTTTTAAAATGAGAACTGGAAGTAAGAGTTTGTGTGATTGTGGTTGAAGTTCAGTTGAATACAGTCAGCCACAACAACTAAAATACTCCAATGTGTCTTAGTTTCCCCCGCTGGCTGCTGCTCTTTCAAAATGAATAGGCGTGAAGAGTGCTCAATTATATCCCCGGGGCCTTTTATAGCGACGCACAGAGACACAGTGTAAAGATGTGAGTGGAAAGTATTTGTTCTTGCAGTTTCCAAGTTAAACATCAGGTTTTGTCATGTGATGTGTTTCTTCAGAGGAATCCAACCAAGTAACATTAAGAATAACTTTACTGGAATAACCAAAACTTCCTGCTGGTGGTTTTGTTTGTGTATGTAGGTCATATAGAGGCATCAGTGTATAACCAGATTTAAGACTGCCAACCTCCTGATTAGTGGACGACCTGCTGAGAGGCCACAGCCGCCCCGAAAACACAGTGATGTAAACATTCCCCAAAAACTACCATTTGATGTGCACCAGGCTCATCTTCAGACTCATATTTACCTGTGGTGGGTTTTCAGAGTCCTCTGCGGGATACTTGAGCAGGCGGAGAACTCTGGAAAGCTGCAAGAACAGAAGAAGAAGAAGTTAAATACAAAAGGACAGGCCTGGACTCGCACCTGAACTACAGATCAGGGTCTACCCACAGGAACCTCGCCAAGAGAGTCCTGAGGTAGAGTTAAAATACTTTCCCACGGTCTGAAGGAGAGTAAATCCATTCTGGAAAGTCTGGGGTGACTCAGACTGAAAAACTTTAGCACTCAATCAACACTAACTAGCATTGTTAGCCTCAAAACAGCATCAGACTGCGAGTTGGGAGTGTCTCGGATCGTCTGAGGAACATTCAGGAGAGATGAGAACACACATTATGTATTATTATCTGTTACCATCCACAACAGTGAATACTTCTCTCTACTTTGGGTATGATTACGTAAAGAACATCCAGATACCAAGAGAGTTAACAGCAGCTACAAGAAATCAGATTGTGGAGGAATTTAAAGCTTAAATTTAAAACATTTTACAGTCAAATGTTCAAATTAATTCAGACTTCTAGAGGTAACTTAGTGTCAGCTTCAGTCAGACTTAAACTATTTCGTATCTTTACGTGTAATTATCCGTCCTTTTATCCTGCCACAGTGATACTTTCCTAATGCGTTCGTCCTGCACTGGCTCACATGTAAAGAGCTTAATACAAGCCTCGTTATGTGTATACAAGGAGGGAGAAAGAGACAAAGAGGGAGAACATCAAACACGCTATTTAAATATTTACAAGCTCTAATGAACCATTTACATATAAGTTGTAGAAACACGCTAATCCATAAAGAGTGAGAGTCAAACGTGTCGCACTCACCAGACCACAGTGCCTGCATACTAACTGTACTGGCTGCTGCTACCGGCTCGTTAACGGTCCTATTAGCCGTCTGTACTCAGACTGGGAGCTCGAGGGACGGGGGGGTCACTACCGTAGGAGCGGGGAACTACTACAAGGAGCTAGAAGTGTCTAGCGAGAGGAAGGAGGTCGGGTAGACGGCAGAGCTGGTGATTGTTGAAACAGTGGAAATAACTAAGACAGGTTTGGTGAGTTTTAGTTTGTTCTTGTCGAGTTTGAAAAGCGTGTTTTACGATTACTTACAAAAGGCAAATACAATAAGATTTCCTTTCTTGATATCTGGTCAGTTTATTTTGTTTGGGTGGGAGTAGCACACAGGATTCAATATACAGACGATCACTGGTTGTTGGGCTGACAGTGGGCATTTGGAAACTACTAAAAAGGGTCTGAAAAGTCCATAAATATAATGAGAAAAACACAAATTTGACCCATCGTAAGCAGTTTCCCTCGCGCACAGAAACGAGCCACACGTCGACTAACTAGCATCGATTTTATTCTCACTGGAACAAGTTGCCTATTTTTATAGTTTTGTGCTTTTTCCTGCAATTTAATAGCCCAAAAACATCCCAACATGAATCACAATGTATTAGAAAAGCTGCTGTGACATCCTGACGGGACTGACTGACAACAACAAGAATTAGTACATTATTACTGGAGTTATTTACACTTTAGATTATTATCTGAAATGTTTGTTTGTCGTGCTCCGTCTGTTTATCCTCCATCATTCCTCTCTCTCAGTTGGATCCACACTCTCTCACACTCTTACATAATCACAACTGTTGAGGGGAGTGAGTTAGGGTTGGGCAATAATGACAACACATACCCCAAAAATGTTAGTCAGCCTAAGTTGTCATCATCTCTTGTTGTTTTAGACCATTGAGCAAAGCTACGAACGGATGGGCGAGACCGATTCCAGGCAATATTGTATTTTTACATCAATCCAGTCAAATAAAGATAGTTCTGTCTGTTTATCTCTGTTTATATTTCTATCTCTCCATCTGTGAAGTTACATCAATGTGTCTGTAGCACCAAGTATTTAAAGAATGTGTCCAGTTTCTGATCCAATAATTGTTGATTTAAATCATAAAGTTTGTCAGTTTTAAATCATATTTCATCTCAACAAAGTTTGTGTACAGCTGCTTGTGTTTACACAATATTCAACACTTATTTTGTTCAGTGAATTAAGTCAGAAATTTATATTTTAGTGTGTAAGTTTTAGTATCAGGACTAAAACTCTAGTATCTTTCTTTGGAATCACTAAATTTTGAAGTCGTCAAACAATACATCATTGAATTATCACCCAGCCCTGGAAAGAAATGTCACTGAACACAATCAAAGTCCCGAGACAGCCTGACAGTTCCTGATTGCAACACAGCAGCTGTGATGCTTCGTCCTTATAACATGTCACCGATTGCTCAACAGCTCCACGATCAAACCGGTCCCCGTGAATGAGACTTCTCCCACAGTTGGTCAAGGAGGAGGGGGGGTATGTGAGGCACCGCCACGCCCGGGGTTTATACCAGCGACTGTCACAAAGTGGTGTAGAGTAATATGGAGAACTCGGCTAAACCCGGTTTTAAAAACCCGGTTTGATGTGTGTGTTTATTCGGATGGCAAAAGGCAGCACACTCCCAATGTTAATGAGTGGGGAAAGTATGGATTACTTCACTTATAACGCGTTATCATGTGGTTGTGTCAGTGTTGACTCTTCTGTGGTTAATGTTAATTTCATAATCACTGCCTGAAGTCAGGCAGCAGACGTTAAGTGACAATGAGCACATTTAAATAGCCTTTATATCCTCACTGTTTAAACCCGAGTTCACTTTTTACTGTATAAAAACAAGATTGTGTCACAAATTAAAAAGAGTATATCCACTTATATCCAGGCTCCAACTGACTGACTGTTACCAGAGACATTAACTTGGAAGTGAAGCCCAGTTAGGTCCCACATTAAGCCCAGTTAGGTCCCACATTAAGCCCAGTTAGGTCCCACCATTAAGCCCAGTTAGGTCCCACCATTAAGCCCAGTTAGGTCCCACATTAAGCCCAGTTAGTTCCCACCATAAAGCCCAGTTAGTTCCCACATAAAGCCCAGTGAGTTCCCACATTAAGGTCCCACATTAAGCCCAGTTAGTTCCCACATTAAGCCCAGTTAGTTCCCACATTAAGGTCCCACCATTAAGCCCAGTTAGGACCCACATTAAGCCCAGTTAGTTCCCACATAAAGCCCAGTGAGTTCCCACCATAAAGCCCAGTGAGTTCCCACCATAAAGCCCAGTGAGTTCCACATTAAGGTCCCACATTAAGCCCAGTTAGTTCCCACATTAAGCCCAGTTAGTTCCCACATAAAGCCCAGTGAGTTCCCACCATAAAGCCCAGTGAGTTCCCACATAAAGCCTGGTTAGTTCCCACATAAAGCCCAGTGAGTTCCCACCATAAAGCCCAGTGAGTTCCCACATAAAGCCCAGTTAGTTCCCACATAAAGCCCAGTGAGTTCCCACATTAAGGTCCCACATTAAGCCCAGTTAGTTCCCACATTAAGCCCAGTTAGTTCCCACATAAAGCCCAGTGAGTTCCCACATTAAGGTCCCACATTAAGCCCAGTTAGGTCCCACATAAAGCCCAGTTAGTTCCCACATTAAGGTCCCACATTAAGCCCAGTTAGGTCCCACATTAAGCCCAGTTAGGTCCCACATTAAGCCCAGTTAGGTCCCACATTAAGCCCGGTTAGTTCCCACATAAAGCCCAGTTAGGTCCCACCATTAAGCCCAGTTAGTTCCCACCATAAAGCCCAGTTAGTTCCCACATTAAGGTCCCACATTAAGCCCAGTTAGTTCCCACATTAAGCCCAGTGAGTTCCCACATAAAGCCCAGTGAGTTCCCACATAAAGCCCAGTGAGTTCCCACATAAAGCCCAGTGAGTTCCCACATTAAGGTCCCACATTAAGCCCAGTTAGTTCCCACATTAAGCTCAGTTAGTTCCCACATTAAGCTCAGTTAGGTCCCACATTAAGGTCCCACATTAAGCCCAGTTAGGTCCCACATAAAGCCCAGTTAGTTCCCACATTAAGGTCCCACATTAAGCCCAGTTAGTTCCCACATTAAGGTCCCACATTAAGCCCAGTTAGGTCCCACCTTAAGCCCAGTTAGTTCCCACATTAAGCCCAGTGGAGAGTTGACCTGGGAGGCTGCTAACGGCTCCAGCAGTCTGATCTCATATTATAACCCAGAGTCAGTGTGGACTCAAACCTGAACCACATTTAAAACCACTGGTGGTGTTTGAAGCCTTATTGCCCCCCCACTGCCCCCCCTCCTCTGTAACAGCCTGATATGAACTCCTAGCTGCCGGGTAAGCTAGCACAAGAGAGGCTACCGCTAACGGTGATTAATGAAAAACAATAAAGAATAAAAATGGCAGTTGACATTTTCTCCCTCTGCTCGGTAACGAAGAAGTTCTCCAACGGCTGCAACACCGAGAGACAGACACATCTAACGCGAGGGGAGAAAAAGTTCCTCTCTTTAAAAATAAATAAATAAAATAAAGCTAAACGTTACCCCCCCTCCTCCTCCTCCTCCTCCTCCTCCTCCTCCCTCCGTTTAGTTAGCCGAACTTTAGCTCCCCTGTTAGCCTCACCTGTTCGTGGGAGACCACCAGGCTCTTGTTCCCCTCTCCGTGATACTTCCACTCGTTCTCGTCCATCTTGTCGAGCTCCATCACACCGGCGACGACGGAGACCGCGCTCCCGCTCTAACGGCCAGAAAGTGACGCACGACGGCACGGCGACATATACAAGAGCCTCCCCCCCCCGGACCGCGCGCTGCTAGCTGGGCAGGCTAACGGTTGATTCACGAGCGCGGCGGAGCTCCGAGTGACTTCTGCTGCCGCCGCCCGGCTAACGGAGCTAACGGAGCTAACGGGGCTAACGCTGCCCGCGATACCACTTCCGACTGAGACTTCAAAATAAAAGTCACACAGTTTGTTCGGCTGCTCAAGGTGCTCACACGAAGTAGTGGTTGTATTATAATATCTAATGTTATATCTAGAAATGTATATATATATATATATATCGGTATACACATATAAAATAAGAATACAAATGTATGTGTATATATATATAGAAAATAAAAATAGAAATCTATAAATCTGTATACACATATAACTCTTATTCTTATTTTTGTATTTTTATCAGATTTCTTTTTTTCTGTGTATTTTTCTAATCTATCTGGATTAATTTCCCCATCATCAATAAAGTCTATCTTATCTTTTTTACACACACACATATATATATATATATATATATATATATATATATATAACACTTAAATCAATGAGAAGTGCCATAGATGAATAAAAACCTGTATTTCCATAAAGTATCTTATCTTATCCGCCAATAATGGGAAATGTATATTATCATAGATTACAGCTGTTGATGTATCGGTCTATAATAATTATTATTTTAATTTTTATTATTCCTATTATCGGTATCGACCATGAGAAGCAGGTAATCATAGGTTATCATATCGGACGGAATAAAATCAATATCGTGCGTCCTTAAAAACGTAATGTTAAAAGTGATATTATGAAAATCATAAAGTCCTAATTTAAAGAAAATAACACATTACAAGAGAATAATCTAAATCTTACAAGTTTTAGTAATAACATGTGAATAAAGTCAAAGTCAGATTTCAAGAACAAAGTTGTAATTTTGTTACCAAAAAATAAACTTTTAATATTAAAACAAAGGATAGTCCTATTTGTTGCTTTATTTTTAAACCCCTTCCGGTATTATTCCGATCAACTCTATCGAGCTTCATCGGCTGTTTGATTGACAGGTGGATGGACCACTCCCTGTTACCGGCTGTCCCCCGATGTCCCGCCCACTCCGCTGTGATTGGGCAGAGCAGATATCAACAGGGTTGGACAGGTGGGACCGAGACCAGGAAACATCTGACAGGTGGACAAATGACGTGAAGTGTAAATGTTCAATAGATCACGTGATTGATGAGTAACGCCTGCAGGTAAATGAGAGAAAGCCGACGACAAGTACAGCTTTGTACAGGTAATGTGAACAAAAGGTGAGTTTAGTCTACTTAAGTTACAGTTTGAGGTCTTTTATACTTACTCAGAGGGAAATATTGTTGTATTTACTCCTCTATGTTCAACAACTTGGGCTAATTGTTACTTATAATGTGTAAAGTTAAGATATATATATATATATGTATGTCATTATACAGTATGTTTCTTATATAATGTTATTTTATATTTATCGTTACACAACATAAGGCGGTAAAACAAAATGAAAGTTTGTAGTTCCTATAATAATATAAAAGCTAAACAACAAATAAAACAATATATACAGTTATTTATATAGATATATGTACACACTCAGGAAATAATAATAGATAATAATGATAACATGGTTTCATCTCCACATAAGTAGAATCAGATAATAAAATAGGACAGTAAAACACTCATAAGGGTCATTTTTTCTGAACTTTAAGTACATTTTGTTAATAATACTTTAACATAAATTACATTTTCAAAGCAGCTTTCCACTTTTACTGCTAATGGAGTATTTTTATGTTGTCATATTACTAACTTTACTAAAGTATTTGAAGGTTTCCTCCTGTGAAACTATCAGATTGGGTGGTAAAATCAATACAGCCTGCAGCTCATCTGATGGATGGAAATGTCAGTTCCCCTTAAAACAATAATAAAACAGGATTCGGTGCACTCGTTCTATATTGGAGCTATTAGGCAAATATTAGACTAATTCAAAAGTATGTCTTAGAATTAGAGCCCAAAATCTTCTCCAGTGCGGGTTATTGATTTCTGCCGACATGTTAGACACTGGACCTTTAACATCTTAAAGATTTTAATCTGTGAAACTTCCAGAGACATAAAGATATTTTGTGGTAACACACACTAGACCCCAAACCAAATCTTACCTCCTCATCTCTCACACTGCCTTCACATAATCTCACTGTTTTTATTTATATATTTGTTACCTTTGTAATGTACTTATGTATTATCTCATATTGTTCTTGTAATACTTGTTGATGCACTGTATTGATGACATTGAGCACTCATTTGTTATAACCTGCTCATTGATTTATGGATGAAAATGATCTTATTAAGTAACTCATAGCACATTTACATTGCAAATACAACCACAGTGTTGATTAATGTGCAATGTCCCTGGTACATAAATAAATAAATAAATAAATAAATAGATGTTTTTGGTCAGGTAGCTTTACACACACATCTGTAATGATTAACAAGAGCAGACTAGAGAAATGGACAAAGCTCCTCCCCCTTCAGTGGCGGTCCTTCCTACAGGCGACATAGGCGCTTGCCTAGGGCGCCACCCAGTGAGGGGCGGCAAATTTGCGGCGAGAAAAAAATTAAAATTAAAATTATAATGTCTATTTATTTTTTCAACTGTTTTTGCCATCCCTCTATGTACAACAATACGTTGACATAAAAAATAAATGAAACTATTTACAAGAAAAACACTATACAAGTTGATGCTAGCTACAGTATATAGCACTTTGCATCTCATTGCGTGCTATGAAATTAAAAAATTGAGTGGATGTGAAAAGTCTATTATTATTGTCCATATAGCAAAATTAGATTAGATTCAGTTTTGGATTATCAATGTAAAGAATTTTAGCAAAAACTTAACTGTCCTGTTTTATTCATCTAAGTTGGCTCAAGGATGCTCTCTTTAAAAAACAATAATTCAATTCAATTCAATTCAATTTTATTTGTATAGCGCCAATTCATAACAGAAGTTATCTCAGGACACTTTTCAAATAGAGCAGGTCTAGACCGAACTCTTTAACATTAATTACAGAGACCCAACAGTACCACCATGAGCAAGCACTTGGCGACAAGGGCAAGGAAAAACTGCCTGTTAAAAGGCAGAAACCTAGGACAGATCCTTCGGCTCTAGGTGGGTGGTCGTCTGTCTCGACCAGTTGGAGAGAAAGAGAGAGAGAGAGAGAGACAGACAGGTGCACAGCAACAACAGTATTGGCAATGGCAATCTACCAGGACCATGGCAGGAGGCTCCACCAGGATTGACAAGAACCTGCGAGACGAGAAAGCACAAGAACTCCAGGGAAGAAGTGAAGTTAGTAACATGCATTAATGGAACATGAATGAGTGCAGAAAGAGGAAGGGAGGAGCTCAGTGCACCATGGGAAATCCCCAGATAGTCTAGGCCTATAGCAGCATAACTAAGGGATGGTTCAGGACTCACCTGATCCAGCCCTAACTGTAAGCTTTATCAAAGAGGAATGTCTTAAGCCTACTCTTAAATGTGGTGAGGGTGTCTGCCTCCCGAACCACAACTGGAAGCTGGTTCCACAGGAGAGGAGCTTGGTAACTGAAGGCTCTGGCTCCTGTTCTACTTTTAGAGACTACAGGAACCACAAGTAGCCCAGCATTCAGAGAACGTAGTGTTCTAGAGGGGTAATAGGGTACTATGAGCTCTTTAAGATATGAAGGGGCCTGACCATGCAGAGCTTTATAGGTGAGGAGGAGGATTTTAAATTCTATTCTACATTTTACAGGGAGCCAGTGCAGAGAAGCTAGTACAGGAGAGATGTGATCTCTTTTTCTAGTTCCTGTCAGTACTCGTGCTGCAGCGTTCTGAATTAATTGGAGTGTTTTAATTGACTTATTGGGGCAACCTGATAATAAAGAGTTGCAGTAATCCAGCCTAGAAGTAACAAATGCATGGATTAGTTTTTCTGCATCCGTCTGTGATAGGATGTGTCTAATTTTTTAATATTACTTAAATGAAAGAAGGCAGTCCTAGAGGTCTGCTTTATGTGGGAATTAAAAGACAAATCCTGATCAAAGATAACTCCAAGATTCCTGACAGTGGTGCTAGAGGCCAAGGTAATGCCATCTAGAGTAACTATATCTTTAGACAGTGAGTCTCTAAGGTTTTTGGGGCCAAGAACAAGAATTTCGTTTTTTTCTGAGTTTAACATCAGAAAATTGCAGCTCATCCAGGATTTTATGTCCTTAAGACATGTTTGTAATTTAGATAATTGATTAATTTCATCGGGCTTGATCGATAGATATAACTGCGTATCATCTGCATAACAGTGAAAGTTAATGTAGTGATTCCTTATAATGTTGCCTAAAGGGAGCATATATATAGTAAATAGTATTGGTCCAAGTACAGAACCTTGTGGAACTCCATGACTAACTGTAGTATTTATTGAAGATTCATTGTTAACATGTACAAACTGCGAACGATCTGATAAATTTGACTTAAACCAGCTTAGTGCGGTTCCTTTAATGCCAATTTGATGCTCAAGTCTTTGTAAAAGAATATTATGGTCATTGGTGTCAAATGCAGCACTAAGATCTAATAATACAAGTACAGAGACAAGTCCATTGTCAGAACCAATCAGAAGGTCATTATTAACTTTAACCAGAGATGTCTCTGTGCTATGACAAACTCTAAATCCTGACTGAAAATCCTCAAATAAACTATTGTTATGTAGAAAGTCACACAACTCTTTGGCGACTACCTTCTCCAGAATCTTAGAGAGGAAGGGGAGGTTAGAGATTGGTCTATAGTATCAGGTTATGCTTTATGCTGCAGTCACACAATAGCATTACATTGACATTATATTTATTCTATATCTTGTGTGTATGTGTGGTAAATTATCTTGAATACAAGGTGAGAAAGTGTGCTTCATGTGCCCTCTGGATGCAGCAAACACTGGCAATTCACCTTCAGCTGATCCTGCTGGCTGGCCTGTTCATGTACCCGACCAACTTGTGCATTGCCTTACGGACAAGCACACCGCTACCAATAACGGTAGCTTCAGCTGAGCAGAGTTATTCCAAGTTAAAACTCCTGAAAACATACCTCAGATCCACCATGGCTCAAGAACCCCTTAGTGGTCTGACCACAATCAGTATCAACCATGAGGTTGGTGGTCAGATTTCCTACGAGGAGGTTATTGATGAAGGAAGGCCAGAAAGATTGCATTGTGAATGAAGTGTGATATTAGTGTGAAGTAGAATATATTATTCTATTCACTTGGGGTGAATTTGAACCTTATTTGTTTATTTTGTATATTATATTTTGATTAATAGGTTATATGAATCACATTTTACAGTATCTAATTTTGCACACAATGTTTTATTGTTAGTTTAATTTTTTGTTTTGATTCTTTAGTGTGCACTTTTTGTTCTCAGATGTTGCACTACTGTTAAAAATATGTTTAAAAGTTTATTTTTTGTATATTTATTATTGAACAGGTTTATTCTTTTGCACATATTGTTATATTGTTTGTATTATCATTGTTTAAATAAATGTGGGGATGGGGCACTATCAGTAAAACTCGCCTAGGGCACCAAATGGTCTAGGACCGCCCCTGTCCCCTTGTATGACGTAACACAGACAAACAGGAAACTCCACATTTTAGTCCTCCTCTTCCTCCTTCCTACGAAGACTCAGATTATGAGAGATAAACAGTAAGTTTCACAACAGAACCACAACATCCACCGAGGAAAGCTGCAGGAAGGAAACACTGGATTTACTGGAATACTGAATACTTCAACCTGCTGCTGAGTTCACTGAGTGAACTGAAGACTCAAAGTGAAAGTAACTTTCAAGGTGACCGACTTCCTGTCTGCTCGCTCCGTTTTCAGCTTCACTCAGAGACAAAATGTCTTCCCGATCAGAGGAGGATCTCTCCTGTCCTGTCTGCCATGACATATTTAAAGACCCTGTTGTTCTGTCATGCAGCCACAGCTTCTGTAAAGACTGTCTGCAGACATGGTGGAGAGGGAAACAAAGACGTACATGTCCGTGCTGTAAGACCAGCCAGACAAATAGTGATCCACCCCGCAACCTGGTGTTAAAGAACCTGTGTGAGGCCTTCTTACTGGAGAGAGATCAGAGACGTTCAGCAGGATCTGAGGCTCTCTGCAGTCTGCACTCTGAGAAACTCAAACTCTTCTGTCTGGAGCATCAGCAGCTAGTGTGTCTCGTCTGCAGAGATTCAAAAATACACAACAACCACAGTTTCAGACCCATCGATGAAGCTACACAGGATCACAGAGAGGAACTCAAGAAAATCCTGAAGCCCTTTAAAGAGAAAGTGAAACTGTTTGAACAAGTTAAAGCAAACTGTGATCAAACAGCAGAACACATTAAGGTTCAGGCTGAACACACAGAGAGGCAGATTAAGGAGCAGTTTAAGAAGCTTCATCAGTTTCTACGAGAGGAAGAGGAGGCCAGGATCATTGCTCTGAGGAAGGAAGAGAAGCAGAAGAGTCAGAAGATGAAGGAGCAGATGGAGGCTCTGAGCAGAGAGATAGCAGCTCTTTCAGGCACAGTCAGAGCCACAGAGGAGGAGCTGAGAGCTGAAGACGTCTCATTCCTGCAGAACTACAAGGCTGCAGTGAAAAGAGTCCAGCAGCGCCCCCTGCTGGAGGATCCACAGCTGGTCTCAGGAGCTCTGATAGACGTGGCCAAACACCTGGGCAACCTGACCTTCAACATCTGGAACAAGATGAAGGAGATGGTCTCCTACACTCCTGTGATTCTGGATCCAAACACTGCCGACCCAGAACTCATCCTGTCTGAAGATCTGATCAGTGTGAGATATGGAGAGAAGCAGAGGCTTCCTCAAAACCCGAAGAGGACCAAATTCTCCTGCTCCGTCCACAGCTCTGAGGGCTTTAACTCAGGGGCTCACAGCTGGGATGTCGAGGTTGGAGACAACAAGGACTGGGAGCTCGGCATGTTGGGAGAATACATCAAGACCGACGGACGCCTCCAGTCTGGATTGTGGAGGATTTTGTTCTCTAACGGTAAATTCACAGTGTTCTCCACATCCAAACCAGAGAGAGATCTGACGGTGAAGACGAAGCTCCAGAGGATCCGAGTTCATCTGGACTTTGACAAAGGAAAACTGTCGTTCTCTGATCTTGATACTGACACACACATACACACCTTCACACACACCTTCACAGACACCCTGTTTCCGTACATTTACACTGAGAGTCGTGTCCCGCTGAAGATTTTACCAGTGAAGGTTTCTGTGACGGTGGAAAAGGTCCAATAGAGATTATTATGATGAAGATGATCTGTCACAGTGATCGTTTATTAAGGTATCTTTTATTGATTAATATCTCTGGTTGCATTAGACCTCTGTGTATAAATGAGAATGGGCTGTTTTATGTTGGATTTACAGGATTAATGCATCAGTGTGATGGAGTATTCTGATTTAATTCTTATTATTAAGCTAATAAAACTACTGGGATGTCAGGATATATTGGTATGGAACGATGGGAAGTCTGGATAAGGACGCATCGTAATGTACACGTACACATTGTAGTTATTAAAAGCATCAGAAACGTATAGGAGAAAATTAACCATGCTTTTTAATGCTTTTACACAGTTTTATCTATAGTTTCTTAAATAAGTTTCCAAGTAAATTACTATGTATTTAGTAGGTATTATATATCGTGATGAAGGATTTAAATATTTAATCTTTATAATAATCAAACTGACTCAACATGAACAAAATTATGAATCTGACCAGACAAAGGTCGATATTTTAAAATACACCCAGCTGATACCTTAATCCTCGTCAGGAGCAGTGCCTAAAATGAGTCACCATTACTGAGTACCACCACATCTGATGAGCACGGCCCACCACTGAGGTCAAAGGAATTTATTCCAAGGGATAAACAATAATTACGTCTAATAAATGTCTGAAAATAAAACATTTGATGCTTTAATGCGAGGAAAAGTTCAGTTATTTGGACTTCTGTGCTCAGTAATGCTGGTGAGGTTCTCCTGAACCACTTTGTTACAGTGTCTTTGTGTAAATACAGCTATCTTAACGCTAAAAACCCGCACTGAAAATATCCTTATTAAAAAAGATAACAGATGTGCTGAATTGGGATACTGGAACCTGGTTAAAGGTGACAGTGCTTGGACTCGACAGGGCTTTATTTTCTCCCAAGATATGAGATTTGATTTATATTATATTAAGTATGTTTATTCAGTTAATGTTAATTAACTTTACATTTCTTTTGGAATAAGTGTTTGGTTGTTTTTTTTGTTATTTGTAGTTTATGTATTAGTGTTATTGTTAGTCTCCCCCTGTGTGTCAAAGCTGGTCTGATCAGCCAGTAGTAAGTCCCCTTTGTTTGTCTTATGGTAGGTCAGTTGCATTTTTGAGTTGGTTATGTTCAGAGCTTAAGTTTGGTTTGTTTGTTTGTTAGACCTCTGTAAGGGCCCAAACTTTATCTTTATTTTGTTGTATTGATTATTTTTGGGTAAAATAAAACCCCTTTTTGGAAATTCTCTTGTGACTCCTCTTGCCTAACTGCTTGGCCCCTCACAAGGATGAAGTTAATAAAGGTGTTATTAAGTTAAAAGTTGGAGGGAGGTGGATGATGATCAGACTGTTGATAATGTTGAGCTTTAAATTATTTTCATATCATGTGCAGCTTTGTGTGATGCAATTCCTTTTGAAACAGGGTGTCTAGGATGCACCAAACAACTTAAACCTAATACAAGGAGGTTGATGTTAATGTATATTAACAGTATAAATGTTAACAAAAACATTAAAAAAGCTTCTTATTTTTGATTATTCTGATTGTTGTACCAATAAAGATTTAGTTTACACCGACTATATCTTTGTGTTTGTTAGGATTCCATCATTAAGATCACTGACTGCAAAATGTGTTCACAAAAGTAAGAACTGAAGCTGGAGAGGAAGAATGACCTCTGTTTGTCTTTGCTCTTCAACCTCGTCCACAGTCTTTGCTAGAGATATTTACCCAAAATCAAACTGCTCAAAACACCTTAAACCTACTACAAGGGTTTTTCTATTTTTAAATTTGATGAATAATTCTGACAAACGCTGCAAACTATATTTTTTTCCAGTTGACTTCGATCCATCCACTCTGATGTTGTCACGCTGTTGGTGCTTATTAACTATCACCACCATAATAATATGTTTATAAAAGTTAATTATCATTGTGCTCACATACTGTGAGCAGGTCTCTGTGGTTTTAGAGTTCTCTGGATTATCGCTCTCGAACCAAACGTCACCGGTTAGTATAAAACTTTAAAGAACCAGTTTGTAGGGTTTAGTGGCATCTAGTGGTTTCAGATTGCAACTAAATAAATGTGACTTGCTTCCAAGCGTATGTGAATCTACGGTGGCTGCATGGAAGAGACTATGCTCTCTGTGGATAACAACGTTTATTCCAAAGGTAACAAAAACATTATTTACACACTAATGCAAACATACCTATGAATATTATACTCCATGTCTGCCCATAGATCCTCCTCTTTACGCGGTATGATGATCATTTTTTTTTGACCTCTGCCTTAGAAATCCACCATCTGTCAAGATCTCCAGATGAGCTCCGGCTCGCACACAGAACCACACGGCAGCTTGTTATTTACAAATCAAAATGTTTTAATACGTATAAAAACAATAAGACAACACACACACACACACACACACACATACACACACACACATACACACACTATCAGGACACAGGCAGTTCTATACATGATGAACCCTACAGAGGACGTTGGGATCTCTACTGGGACGACTCAGCTGCTTCACGCTCTCTTTGTCGGCTCCCGTCAGCGATCCGGGCTGAGGAGAGTTTTCCTGTGACGCGGTGCTCTGGTTGAAGAGGGAACATGTCTGCACATCCAACAAACAGGCTGCTCACTCACACACAGTCTGTATATATGACATCAGGCTTTGTGTCTCTTTTTGTTTTTCAAGCCTGCTGGTGATTCTTCACAACTGTACACAGCAGTGATCAGTCCATCCCTCCAATGTCATGTTGTTTGTACGCCTGCGAGACCAGACTCCCTGCTGAGGGACAGAAAACACCGTCAGATGGACACATTGTGGACAATTAGACAATTTAAAACTAACTACTGTGAAATATCATATGGCCAACAGAAGCAGATACAGACTGGTAGCTAATAAAGAGTAAAACATCATTGAAGGAAGGGTGGACTTCATCATACTCACCACTCTGCTGCTCTCAGTACACAATAATACTGTTTTCATACACTGATTCATAACTTTCAAATAAATCGTTGTTAAACCACTATTAAAGGGTTTTCTGCAGGTTTCAACAGGTCAAATTTAAGACTTTTAAAAAGACCTTTTAACCACCATTATGAATGCAATTTAAGACATATTTTACATCCAATCTGGTACATAAACGTACAAAGGATATAAAATAATAAATAATTAAACATTTAAAAGTGAGGCTGAAAAATGAAGCTTTATACAAGTAACGTTAACGTCACATTTTCAGGCCTAAAATTATTGAATTTGAACACTTTCTGCTCAGTATGTATAAAGTATAAAACATCAAATCTCTGACATGAATATACAAATAATTTATGTGTAAACGTTTATTTGATGCACTGAAAGACCAGTGTGCCCTCGATATGCTTTGGTCTTATTTGTAATGTGTACATAACAACCTATTAATGTTCATACTTTATAAAAGCAGCGTGTCTCAGATTTTGGGGGTATTTTACATTCACACCCTGCAGGGTGAATGTAGCTGTTGGGCAACATAATCTTTGATTGAAGTTCAAAGTGCAGCGAGTTAAGACATTAATACCGACTACACAAACACATCTGATACACACAGAAACAGAAAAGACAGGACCTGAGCAGCGCTGCTACAGACACACGATCATGTCACATGACAAGCCCAAGGAGTGAGGTGGGAGTGGGAGCAGGAGGGTCAAAGGCCAAGCAGGAAGTAGATGTAGACTAGCCAGCTAGCCCGCGGGGGGGGGGGGGAAACAAGCTGCACCATCCCACCGTTAGCCACGTCAACACCCGTCTGCCAACTACAGTCCAACTTCACCAAAAGTCCAAATGAAGGTGAATTAGTCAGAGTGAGGCTGCAGTTAGCAGGTTATTCAGTCGTAAAGCCGCAGTCTGGATTAATTAAACTATGATTGTAGAGGAGGAGTCGGTTTAAACTCTACTGTGGGAAAACAACGGACTATAACGACAGACAGCTTCTTCACAATCAAACATCTATTAGATATTTAATCATAAAGTTATGTTTCTTTTAGGATTTTGTTAAGATTATTTTAGTAGAATAAAAATCCTTATTTAAGAATCAGTCTTGTTATTAAATATTCTAAATCAGCTACAAATAAATCATTTAATTCAAGTCTCATTGATACATTATCCTGATATATCTTATTCCTAAACAGACAATAAATGTAAGTGAACCGATTCATTGATGATTTGGGTCTGCAGATGGGATTTGTTGACAATAAGAAAAATATGAATTAATATTAGACTGATCTTTTAATGTTTATAAACTATAAAGTGTTTGGAAGTTATAAGTAAGTAAAAGAATATTTAGCCATAAAGCTGAACTATAAACTGCCATTAAGTCTGAAAGCAGGTGAAAGGTTAGTGCAGTCGTATCGCTGTAATTACACAATGTCAAGGCTGGAATTTAACTACGACGGAGCGTGTGAGAAGGCGTCTGCTCTGTCTCTGTACACACGATACACTTCAGTACACCCACACACGGGCCCACATTCTTTAAATAATAGGATTACATAACAAAAAGAAAACGGGAGGAGATTTTAGTGAGAAGTTCCCAAGAATTCAACTCGGTCGGAACAACAAATTCACTTAAGTTTAAAGATGAGTCATCCTCTAATTAAATGTGATTCAAGTACAAAAAGAAAAGTTTTTACTGATGTTTGGAGGAAAAAAGTATTTTAAAAATAATACATCATGAATATAATCGCAAAAAAATTATTATTTATATTTTAGGCTTCCTTATAACAGTAAGAATATTTATCCTAAAATAAGGTTTAAGGAGGCGTGTTGTGTTTTCCTCGAGGGAAATGTAACAACAGAAACTTTCTTCCTGTAATAAAACAGTGAAAGATGTCGTTTGAGAGATAAACTCCAATTACAGTTCAGACTATATAATAAATACTATTTATAATATATATTACATATATAATATATAGTCTATAATATAAAGTAATAAGCTCATAATTTCCTGGTTAAACTGTTTATTATTTATAATCCTCATCAATAATTCCTCCAGACTGTGGCTTTACAGCAGGTGGGCCTCTGTCAGACAGCTGTGTGGGTGGGTGGGGGGTGAGGGCTGGTGTGGAGGGTGGAGCGGGGGGGAGGTTCATGTGAGGTAAAAGCAATACAGGAAGGACGTAGGGAGGGAAGGGGGTTGCCTTGGATACAGGCGGTGTCAGTCAGACTAGCAGGGCTGCAGGACTAGCAGAGCTCCCAGACTCAGCAGCAGCAGGGGCAGTGGCATGCTTACCTGTGGCCAGGCCCCCCTCTGCTCTGCCCTTCATCCCTCCTCCTCCTCCTCCTCCACCAGGGCCAGAGCTGCCCAGGGCCTCCACGGGGAAGGAGGGCCGTTCACCCCTGTAGGGCTTGGGCCTGAAGGGGAAGTCTTTGTCTTTACCTTTGGAGCCTTTGGGCCGGCCTGCTGTCTTCTTCTTGGACTTGCCGTCTCCTTTTCACACCCAGTAGGGGGTGCACCTCTGAGAGAGAGAGAGAGAGAGAGAGAGAGAGAGAGAGACACACACAGAGAGAGAGAGACACACACAGAGAGAGAGAGAGACAGAGGGGAAAAGTTCAGCTTTTCACAATAAAACCCAAAGAAAAATATAATTAAATGATGACACTTCTCATCATGTTGACTAATTTCCAAATATTTGACACGTCATACACATCACTCTGCTAGTTTCAGTTGTTCTTTTTAGCCCTAACACAGATTTCATTCTCTGCATTCGAGTCTAAATTTTACCCAAAGTACGGCTGAGGATGATGGGAATGTTAAAAGTTAAGGGATCACCAAAGTTTTCAAATTCATCTTGAGGGGAACATAAATGTCTGCACACACTCTGTATCAATCCATCTACTACACGTTGAAATATCTCACAGGATGAGTGCGCTAGAAGACACGTCAAGAGATCACATAAGTCTTTAGGATTCAAGTGTCGAGGCAATCCATCCAATAACTGTTGAGATATTTAAGTCTGGACCAAAGCAGTGGACTGATTGACAGATATTACACACAACATGAGCCTAGCATGGATAAATATGGTAAACTAGAAGTGACAAGTGATTGTTAAGACATGAAAGTGTTTCCAGCAGAGAGGAAACAGGAAAACATGGAGGAAGTGTTGAGTTTACATTAAAAGCTAATTCAAAATGGAGCAGATCAGAAAACAGGGAGACATCTGACTGAAATGTGATGAAAAACAGGGGAAATTATAAACAAAGTCTCTAATAC